CCTTATTGGAATTATATTGGATTGTCCAACAATAGCCACTACACTACAGTGAAAGATCTTGCTATATAATCTGTGCAATCATTATAACACCAATAATCCAGAATTGAAAAGATCGCGACAAGTCGGAAGATTTTCATAATAAATTTTATCCAACAAATCGAAGGGATAATTACCATTGTTTATCGACGTTGTCCACTTTTCCAGCTGCTTAACGAATAAACTAAGCCAAGACAGTTGAAGCTTCTGCAATAATCATCGATTGTAAGGTACGAGCTAGAAGGTAAAGGAATATAGGCTGTCATAATGATGCATTGACATTACTCGTATACTTTCCATTGTTGAATCATCTCGGTGCTAGTTGTAATGACCATTTACAATAGTGCTTATTTATTTACAACAACTGAACTGACGATTTACAGTATTTCACTCCAAATTGCATGCTATATTGGCTGTATAATTTTAAATTTGAATCGATATTTTAAAGTTACCCCTGTTTCACATTGTAAATGGATTTTTTTGTACCAACGATATGGTCAAGAGAGCTTATTCGAGTTTTTAGTGATGTAATACTCAGAATTGAAAATGGTAAGATCAATCGGAGATCAATATGAAGTGCAGCAAGATGATGAAAATTTGAAAACAATTTTTTGGATCATCTTTTATAGCGATTGCTGGAAACAAATTGTTATCGCTACAAGACCTCTATTTGAAGGTCCGACCTATACCAAGAATTCAGTTTGCAAATAGATCGCGACTACATTAGCACCAAATTTCTCTACTGTTTTCAATCATGATTGATTCTTGTTTACACTAAATAATTTCTACTTCTCCTTTGTATGCTATGACCATTCGACTTTGAAATATTTCACATCATGTCATCATATATTACAGTACAGTATTGAGGCACTACTTGGTCTACTCTCAGAACCGTAAATGGACGATGAAAGTCCTATAAAGCAGAAGGAAACGGCCATTTTTAAACTAGCGTAGTTCGAAATTCGTTAGTACGCAAAACATGGATGCTCTCTATGAGATTGTGATTGTATAAGCTAGATTAGTTTATTACAGTACTCTTATTTCTTGCAAGTACAATAAATAATATAATTAATCAACGATACTGAAAGTCTGAAACTATTTTCATCACTTTACATCATTGTAACTACGTTGGTGACAAAGTACGGAAGAGGCCAAGGTAGTTATTTAGTGACTTGCACCTAAATGACATACGATTGCTATGCAATAACCGTTGAATAGTGAATCATTATAATGAGAGTTGAATACAGTAATATTCATGAAAATTTCACGAGACAATCACCTGCTTCACCTAGTAAACGGAGAAAAGTCAACAATGTTGTCTTTCCAGCCACGTAACACTGTCGTTTATTGTTTTATCATACGATCTATGCTCCTTGTGTATGACGATGAAACCTTTCACGGTAGTACCCCCTTGCATCACTAAGATTATGGACTCGTCTCCTCGCTCTCCCCATGATGCAATCTAAACACACATTCGGTATTACTATCTGGTTCTATCAACAGGTTCGTTACGGCCATTCGTTGAGTCGCATAGACTATCAACTCTGACTACTGCAACCTCTTCAGTTTCATTTTTCCTACTGTAGTCATTTTACGACAGTGAAGAAATGCAATAATGATCATAGCAGTATGTTACTTGGTACTGTATATATCTGTCAACAAGTTGGTCGTAGCCGCATGGACATGATCAAGTCTGACTCGTATACAATCTGTTGCAACATATCGATTTTTCACTTTTTCTCACTGTAGTCATTTTACGGCAGTGAAGAAATGCAATCGTGATTACTGGTTATATTTGCCAACAAGTCGGTTGCAGCCGTGCGTTTACTCATTTTTCCCACTGTAGTCGTTTCACGGCAATGAATAAATCCAGCAATCATAATAATAATAATAATTACTGATTTGCTGTCTAGTGTTCTGCTGTCGACATGTCTGTCTAGCCGTGTACCCCTATCCATTTTCGCTTTTCCCAGTCTAGTCGTTTTACAACAGTGAAGAAAATGAAAAATAGATCAAGGGTAGTGCAGTGAATACGGAATCAGATTAGCGGAAGAACTTGACTTTCGGCAGTTTTTAAATCAAGTTTCTTGTAATAAGAATGAGCTCTAGCCGTAGACACTAGCCAATTCCTGGTTCTATCTATCAATCGCCATCAAAATGATAACTTTTTTTTTTTTTTTTTTTCTTGGAATGTTCTGTGAAAGCATGACGTAACCGCTAGTCTGCACCGTATTGTACAGTATGTACTGTAGACCTGGTATTAATCCAGTCCAGCCGCAGTTTTGCTTACAGTACATTGTACTGTAAGCACCGGGCTACTGTACTGCAGGTAGAAATTGTTTACTCATTCTGATTCATGCTTGCCATTGTCTTTCCCATTGTTCATCGTTGCGCATTTGAAATCAATCGACAATTCTTATTGACGGTATACCGGCGTTAATTTGTTCAATTATTACTTGCACGATCGGTAGTCTTATTTAGATTGATTTTACAAGCCTGATCCAAGCTATTTTTCATTCTGCATGTCAGTATGGATGTTGTAGGAAAAGTGTAAAAGCAGTATTTGAAATTTTTTGGGGCTAGGTTTTACTGAAATCGCGTCATTTTTGGTGTCCTTAAAAAGCTGGAAAGTTGTTGGCAAGAGGTCAGTAATAATGGAGTACTAGAAATGATCGGATGGATAATCATCATAGTAACCGAATCGAAATGGCAAGCTGATCACCCTTTTACAACCCTTTCCCAACTGATCGATATGCCATATATGCATTGTGCTTTCCCTAGTGATTTGTAGTGTGTACTTGCAGTACCTATTCCTGTACCTATTCCTCCGGCATGCATATCATGTTATCAAAGATGTGTCTGGCTATAAATAGACTTGGAGTGTGCTTCTATGTTCAATATGCGGTAGTAGTACTAAAGTCGGATAGCAAGCTAGATCGTGATCCGGTAGATGGGGGGTATAAAATAGAAATGAAGAAGCAAGATACAATCGCTAGAGTACAAGAGTATCAGGAGTAAAAACGACAATCACCACCTTGAAGAAAAATACAGCCGAGGACTCTCGAGATCATCACGTGAATAGACTTAGAAGGCGCTGTAAATCACTACCAGGCATAGTAACAGAGAGTGATCGATTCCATTCTGCATTAGACTATATAGCTTATTATGACAGCGACAGTATTGATGATGGGACGACTACGATATCAATTTGCAAACATGTCGTAGTAAAGGCATACTGTATGCCTGTGGATGTGTGAAGTAAATGCCTTGAAATCGGAACATAGCGACTAGAATAAAACCAGTAGATTGGCTCAAGCAATGTAGTCGTGTACGGCAAAATGGTACTGTACAAGTGGCGCTTAGATTGTTTAGAACAGTGTTCAATTTCTACCTAGTGCAAAGCTTTCCTAGGATAGAAAGACTACTGTATTGCAAGACAATCTTCACTCATCTGTTACGTCATGCTAGTACCCAATGGACGACAGACAATCAAGATGTTTTTCCTCTTTTACTAGCCCTAATATAGTCTCCTCCATTCATGCAAGCAGTATGTTTTGTGAGGAATAGTGCAATATTTTTCGTGTGATCATTTATTACGTAGCTACCGTAGGCATTTGGGTGTGTAGTACCATTGGCCGGTATGCATGTTCTTCACACTTTCAGTAGTTGTCTAATGATTAGTTACTACAATTATTGCAAAGTGTGAAAGAAACTTGGATGGCCTGGCTTAATATAATTGGTTGCTACTACCCAAACTATTCTTCCAATTTCTTATATATACTTGTTCTGTAACACCTTGTGCGTTAGTCATAGCTCTCAATCGTACAGTACACGTACTTAGGCAGGCCTTGTTCAACTATTTCTCCTTATTCATTTCACGCTGAAACGTTGAAACTTGAATTGAAAAATTATTGCATTTATTTGAGCATAGTGGTACAATTTATTTTTTAATGTCCTAAATGGCTTTAAATTTGTCCAAATTTAAGAATTTAAAAATTTTCAATTTGAATCATGTCGTGTTTGTACTATATTTTTAGATTTGCCGATTCATTTATAACTTCAGCTGATTCAGAAAAGACAAAGATTCGCTTCTGAGGTAAGGATCAAGAATACAGTACTGATTTCAAATTTTATAGTTATTTTTTAAAATTTGCAAATTTAGTGTATTCCATACTTGCTTTTACCATGATGATCGTGTCTTCCTCTTGGATTGAACTCCATTGATTATGTAGTTAAATTAATTTCCAATTCATTCGCAATTGCAAGTTACATTAACATAAGGAGAAAATGATTGATAGCGTGGTGCTCATATTGAATATGAGAAGCTTTTCAATTATAAAAAGTAGAGTATGACTAATGACAATATGAAAGCACGGTAGCATTAGTCGCATTTTTTGAATTTAAAAGTGTTTCCATATTACAACCGACATAGTTGAACAAGATATACGGCATGCCGTATTAATGTGTGATATAAAAGGAATTTTTGTATTATTCCATTTCCAACGTATATCATTGTATGCGTTCTCGACGACTACTGTACTGGATAGACTAAGGAGAAAATTGTCGTTGATGTTGTATTGTCAGCCCTCGACAGTCTGCGAGTAGTCATACTATGCTACACGTATATACTATATGCTAGTTTTTTTTAACACAAGTATGCGATATTCATTCGATCAGTTTTAGTGTTACTACAAATAGAACTGTCTATTTGTGCAGTATTTGCATAAGAGAAATGAATACGTGTAGTTACTCTATTGAGATATGCACAGTATTTATGCATTGCTTAATTAATCTCAATAGGCAATTTAAAAAAATGCTATTTTTTCTATAGAGTTTAACTTGACGTAGTGATGATAATACAATTATTTTTTTAGATGATTGCTTTTCATAATTAAGATTTATACTTTTGTAAATAAAATTAGATTTAACAATACTGTGCTCCGTGTCTAATGCTAATAGCGAAAATGCCGTCGATAAAAAAACAGAAGAAAAAGAAGCCATCCCCATCCAAACGACCCAGCTATCAACGCTATGCCAAACCTCCGTTATCCTACATCGCCTTGATTTCTATGGCCATAGATGCCTCACCAGACAAGCGTTGTACGCTCAACGATATCAATAAATACTTGGTTGATAACTTTGACTTTTTCCGTGGCAACTACACCGGCTGGAAAAATTCGGTTAGTTTGAACATGCATTGATTTGTTACAGTCTATTATTATATGCGGAAATAGAACTAGACGCATATGATAATTATAATTGATCAATGCACCGTAACTATCTTAATATGGTGTTATATCCTGCATGCTATCGAGTTAATAACTAGTGGTATACGTCTTCCATTTGAAAAATTATTATTCGAATAAAGCTATGTCCATGTTGGGAACCTACAGTATTGAATGATGCTTTTTTTCAATTTCTTGCCACGCATAATAATGTGTGTATATTTAAAATGGTAATGAAACTTACTTTAAACTACTTCTGTATAATCTGTAGAATTGTGAAAAATTCAATATCGCAGTTTATTTACTTTGTCCCAATCGACCATCATGCTCGATTGGATTAATCATAGAATGCCTTGTATTGTCCTATTTTTCATCTATTTACTTCAATGGCCGTATATTCATAAAATTGCTATTGATATGATAGGTGCGACATAATTTATCGCTAAATGACTGCTTTATTAAAGTCCTCAAAGATCCCAATCGACCGTGGGGTAAAGATAATTACTGGACAATTAATGAACAGAGTGGATTTACCAGCGCAGCTGTAGAGAGTTACAAGAGAAGAAGAAAGAGACTTCGAGCAGATAATGATGCATCGTCTGTTACTACCGATGATAATGTTTCCATTATAAGGAGCCGTACCAACAGTTCTTCCGATGTGACGGAATCCAGTTATGATCATGCTACTGTCAATTCGACGAGTATTCATCATGAAATCGCCCCAAGTTGTAGTTCTCGAGGTTCAACGAGTGGAACAACGACACCTAATGCTACGCATTTTGCAAAAGCAGATGAAAGTGCTGTTACCAACTACGACGAACTGATCGATGAAAATAAAAATCGTATTAGCAATGTGGCTGTCAAGCCTAATGGTGATCAATGCTTTATGTCAGCGGCAGAGAAATTCTTAGAAGCAGCGTATATTAAGCAACAAATTCAAGCTACGAATTGTATGCCTGTTGCAGGCATGACTGCATCCGTGTCCAATGTACCTTGTGTTAATATACCTTTTAATAATAGCCATGTAACACCGATGAATAGTCTGGCTCAAGTGGCACGGTCGCCGGCTTTTGGATCTCAATTTAATAATGCTACATTAATTTATCCTTACCATAACTTTTTATATAGATCTTTATATCCTCCTACTCAACCTGTTGAATCTTACCCTTATCCTAGATTTCATTATTGCTACGCAAATCACGTTAGTGCTACCAATGCTGCTTGTAGCAAGTAAGGAATGAAGAAGAAAAAATGTAGTTTAAGGAGGAATCGAGTGATTCCCAATCAAGGCTGGCTGCAACAGCCATCGATGACGGCAGTCGATAGCGTAGCAATTTTTTCAGTATGGAATAATCGAACTTCGAAAATTCAGGTTTTTTTTTTTTCCCCCTCCATGCCGGCATATGAAGGCCAAGCAATCCATCTATTTAGCAGCAAGCCTTTAATAGTGAACGAAGAGTTAGTACTGTAAAACAGTTTGGATCCGTACGTACATTGGCACTATAATGTACGATAGATTAAATTATTGGTATCATTCTAAGCCTACATGTAGTTTTTAATTTGTTGTATTAGCATTGGTTACAGAGACAACTTAGATAACTTGATAAAGTTATTAAGGTGTCCAATTTTCATGTCACTAGAACTTGTACTCTTGATAGTCTGCTCAAATGGATAGCGTTCTAGACGACTTATGACAGCTTATCAAATAACAAGAGGTAGCTTAACGAATATAATGATAACGTTTGACATACCTCTTCTTGCCAGGTATGGGGTTGAAGGCTAACATTTTTTTTTGTGTTCTATTACATTTTACTAATTGTGATGGAAAGCTAAGAATAATTGATATAACGTAACATAGTAAAATAAATAGAATCAGACGCCAGATTCAATGGTATCTTCCATGGATACTCAATATCGTTTTGCTCTCTAATACTGTATAACATTTTGTATAATACAGCTAATTGCAATATTGTCCTAATTTATCATGCATATATCTCCAATTGAAATAAATTTTATGTGATTGGAAAGGATGAGGTTATCACGTGTAGATTTATTTAATGATTGATTCCAATTTCTCTGGATTTTACCATGCTAAGTGGAAGCGGGCATTTTTTACCAATGCAAGTTTGAAGAATCTGGAGACAATTTTTGTTACAGTATTGCACATAGTAGTGAAATGGCGTTGTAGGTGTATTTTAGAGTATTGAAATAACGAGCACCGAAGCCTCTCGACGCGGAGTATATTCTATATGCATGATGATCCTTGTATTTTGTTGAGTAAATTAACAAACGGGTTGTAGGAATGATTCGATTGCAAATGGCACCACTACGCTCATCCGTTCGTAGATTTAGTTTTGAGGCATGATGAGAAAACTTGCTCATTGCTATTTTCTCAAAGCCCAACGGTATTTGCGTCTAGCCTGCTGGGTCGATTGCTTATTGTAGATTTGAACTAGCACAGCGATTGGAAAAGTTCAGTACAATTATTTATTAATAATGCAGCAATCTATCCACATGCATTGAATCTAGAAGTAACTACAGTAATTCATGTTAATACTAAGTACTGCGATCAGCTTGATAAAGTCCCAATAGCAAAATGGGTGTTGAGAAAGTATTTTAAGAGGGTAGCGAAAACTTACTCGATCGCAGTGAATAGATTCGTAACTGCGTTGTACTTTCCAATTTGCCATGATGGCGGCGTTGGTGTCCTTAAGCACGGAAGTTTTTTCTTTGGCCTCGATGTCCTTGACAGTAATAAGGCTACTGAGTGAAAAACAACCGAAAAATAGCGCATGGTTCTACATAGTAAAGGGAGTAATGGACGCTAGAAACACTTTTATGCACAATCCTTGCTCAGGCAGTAGCTTACTTTGAGCGTAACTAGACTGTAAAATTATATTTCTTCTTTCATACTACAAGGATTACTTTTTGATAGCCTCTAGCTGAATCTATAAGTTGGATCATCAGTTATGATCTGCAATGGCAGTTATGGATTACTCCACACCGGATTGGGTGGCCCACAGCTATACAGCATCGTTTGGCAAAGCCGTACATGGTTTAGTTTTGTCCTAGATGTACCGAAAAATCTCAAGATGAGCGTACTCGATTTGAATTTTTTTACTGTACGTTACTGCAGGACCACGAATGAAAAATGGCTTTACTCCATTAGACTGACTAGGCAAGCGAAAAATTGGGGCAAGAAATCAAGATGAATGCCGTACTCGCCCAGAAGCTGAAGTATGGTATAATAAATTCATTTTACACTATATTTTTCTGGACTTTTTATTACGGCATCGTTCAGGTTTTCTGCAACCCGAAACACAGTACACCAAATTTTCAAAATGTCCGGAAATGCAAATTGTCAACCCTGGTGTGGAATTCAGTACAGAATACGGATATGCAAATGAAGGAGAACTTTGCAAATCTTCACCAACTCATGCTCTACCGTGCATTATACTAGCTTGGCAAGCGAAAAAAAATGGGAGGCAACAAGTGAAGATGCATTCCTTGTTGGATCAGGAGCTTAAGCGTAGTTCAGTGAATTGCCTTTTTTCCTGTCCTGGACATTTTCTTACAGCACTGTGTAGCAAATTGAAAAATGTCCAGAAATGCAAATTGTCTACCAACATATGCAAATGAAGTAAAGACCTTGACCAATTTTTTAGGGCCTAACATGCTCTAATGCATTAAACTGACTAGCCAAGTGACAAAAAATTGGAGACAAGAAATGAAGATGAATGCCTTGCTCGATCAGTAGCTCGAACGTAGTTCAGTGAATTCCATTTTTACTGTCGTGGACATTTTTAGTTACAGCACAGTCAAGTAAATTGAAAAATGTCCACAAATGGAAATGAATGATCTACCCTTATGCGGAATCCAGTACATACTGTATTTCAATGAAGTCCAGTATAGTAGAAAGCTGTATAAAATTTTATTTTGGGGAGTTTCTACTAGCAAGGACTAAAATCGATCGATCGTTTTCTTTCTTTTTCAAGTACAGCATGAGATAGAAGGTAGACATTTTTAGCATTTTTCCAGTCTCTCCTACAGGCTAGTACTGTAAAATGTGTTGTCTTTTTCCTTCTTTTTCAAGTAGTCGCTTGGTCTTGATCATCTCGAACTTAGTTTACCCTTCTTTAAAGTGGATAGTACAGTAGTGTAGTTCGCTATGTCGGAAATACCCTTGTCTTTTTCACTGCTTATGGACTGGCATAGGCGGCCATTTATTGCCTTATAAAGCTTTCTCTTGAAGCCTTTTTCATGGCAATCCATGCTGATGATGGTGGACAAGGTGTTAATTGGCGGCATTGATGAGTATGGGTGTTATTTCAGAAGCCTTTAGTGGAGTCCAACTGACTAAATCAAGTGGGCAAAATGACTTTGTACACTTCCGCAAAACGCGTCCTGTGGAGTCCTCCATCTCCTGACGAATCCACGGGTATTCTATTACTACTCTTTGATTGGGCTGCAGCGACCATTACGTCGTATACAGGTGTTGAATTTGGTAGTAAAACTCGGATGCAAATGCATCGGAAAGCCTACATCCAATCCTGTAGTAAAATAAGCCAATCGGAAGAGCAACCACATTACTTGGCACATAGAAGCAATTTAACCTGGGGAATACCCACAACGGTAAATAGACATTTCTCATTCTCAATAGGATTGATTTTTATTATTATGAATGATGTACAAATGATCGGTTGGTATGATGACTACAAGGTAAATCAATGATGAACGCATTTCATGTCTGCTTGAAAATTTTCAACTCATGATTGCCAATCTTGTCGTTGATGGATAACTCTATTGGATAGCTACGATCCATCTTTCGCTTATGCTATGGCAGGTATTGCCAATTGGGTGATCATTTTGTTACATTTCATCCAGTATTTTGCCTAATTTTGACCCAATTGAGAGTGAGCGCAAAGCCAAATGGCTTAGTGGGAAGATACTCCATTTTCAATCTACGGTAGCATTTTTCCATTCATGCCGTTATAGGCAGGTATCGCCAATATTGCAATCGTTGTGTTGCGTTTCGTGAAGGTTTTTTGCCAATTTCGACTTAGCTGAAAGTCGGCTAAAGCCAAGTGGGTTAGTTAGTAGACGATACTCTCTATTCTTGAGTACAGTAATCGCTTTTCTATTTTCTATCGATGGTACAATCTTCGACTCATGCCGTTGCAGGTAGGTGTTGTCGAGCATTCCCTTTTATTTCATCGAGGGTTTTTGCCAATTTATACCAAATTGAAAGTAAAGCAAAGCCAAGCGAGTTTGAGTTAGTAGACGAATCAACCTAGCAATCCTGTCCTATACTAGCTTAAATTTGAACGCCATTGGATAACCAAGATAAAAAATAGATACACGTTGATGATAGCAATTTTCGTACAGGATATGAAAAGCAAATCCTCTTGCACTCAGTCTAGCTGCGGTAAGATACCGCGCAAAAATATTCTTCCATGCAGCCCCATCTTCTTTTTCTTCTAATACGCCTTCTGTTCTGTAGAAAGCGATCGTTAAAATGTATCATATCGATAAAAACACGACATTGAAATAGATCTCACATGTTTTGAATCATCGATCGGACTGAAAAATTGTTGTTGATGTTAATCGACTTGGTCGATTCTCTGTGCCAGTACATCGACTATCATCAACTTGCCAATTCGGTAAATGTTCAAAATCAAAAATGATTACACCACCAAGGCAAAGGAAATCTTACGTCGATAACCAATGATACAGTACTGTACTGTGTAATGTCATTGCCTAAAAGAAATCCTTTTCTTCAATTGACAAGATATTTTTTGCATACGCTATCATTTATATAGTTTAAACTCATCAACTTCTCCATACTTTTGACGGTCAAAACGCAATGAGGAGTCGATGAAGATACTGCGAATACAGCAGCTTCATTACTTGATCTTGCCAATCTCTTGGATGCTCACGAAATTAAATTAATTATCGTTTTATTATTGCTCAATTCATTCGCTGCAATAATGAAGTTTAGCAATGGTCATAAGTTACCTTTCATACATAGGTACGCCGTAGCCATCACTTGTTGTCCTGAAACGATTGTCAAGGAAAAGAAATTTGGAGGCAGTGTGCTATCCGCCATTTTTATTTGTTTAACCAGTATTATTGACTACATTCTATACTTTCAGCCAAGACGACAATACGGTAGCTTTAACGCGGACATTTATTCTTGGATAAGAAAAATTGGCTAGTGCCTTTTTAACCTTTTCTATCCCGTCTTGAATTCAATTAAACACTTTCCACGTAATTTCAGCCCACCGCTAGGAATGCAATGCACTTCCCAATACGACCCACAAGTTTGATTACCCGCCATCTAGTTTACACTTCATTACTTTTTATACAGTGTTGAACGCTATGACGGCATTAACAATTGAACATGGCTGCTGTCGATTGAGTATTCTAAAATTGCATCATACGAATAGGATGACAAAATTTATAGTGTTAATCAGTAGCACCATGAATCATCATCTACGCACAGTACAACAGTTGAACAAGGTGTTATATTTGCGACTATCACTACTGATACTCCATTATCCGATAAAGTATAGGGTAGTTCATTAATTAACGATAGAAAATTCAAGTAAATAGTGTGTATTTTTACATTTGTATCCTCTATCTTCTGTTGATGATATTCGGTCTTCTTTTCTAACATAGTCAAAAGCAAGACAAAAAATCGAACATTACCACCACATACGGTACATTAAATCTACATGCAGAGGTAGAATGGCAACGGGATTGGATCTATAACAAGGGCAAATCCATCGCCAAAGGAAAAGCTATTGCTCTACTTTGACTTCAAAGTAGAATATTCACACAAGCAGTAGAACGCTATTGCAAAGAAAAAGAGATCAAGAGAAAACAGCGTTATTATAGTGCCAGTTAAAATTTACGGATTTTAAGACGTTATTGCTACATCGTTGTGTAGACGTAGAAACGTTACTCCATGGCGGCAACCGATTGTAATGTCGAGCAGAACAACAAAAACAGTCAAGATATAACCAACCGGAGCTTTATTGATGTAAGCCCATCTATTACTACTTCAAATTCATCTGCAGCAATGGAAGTAAGTCATGATCAGATGATAGCTACATGTAGCAACATGGCGGGTGAGAAAGGTTCAGATGGACAAAATCGTAAACCAGAAAAACCACCTTATTCCTATATAGCGTTAATTGTTATGGCGATCCAAGCCTCACCCAGTAAGCGCATGACTCTAAATGAAATTTACAAATTTCTACAAGATAAATTTCCATTTTTCCGTGGTAACTATTTAGGTTGGAAAAATTCGGTAAGTCTTGACCAATATTCGTTGATTTTCTGCATGAATTTCTTCCCATTTTGAGCTTGTTAGAGGATGAAAGTAGAATATGAATGATCATATTATTGACAATCTTGATGAACTAATCAATATCCATACTAAATCGTATAAAGTTCATCCTACTATCTATACAGTGATGTACATTGCCAGGCACTTTTTTTTTCAGTTTTTCTCTTGCAAGTCCTTAGCATTGCCTTAAATTAATATAATTGAAACGTAGCTTAAATACAATCGTTGAAATAGAATTACGCTATTATAGATTTTCTGTTTATCATCTTATTACCGTGGTTAAATACTTGTACTACCTATAAAGTCATGTATGTATTGCCATGGACTTTTAAAGTTTTCCTCTTACAAATCTCTGCTATTGACTTAAATTATGATTGAAACGTAGCTTAAATACAATCGTTGAAATAAAATGACTACTATTATCGATTTTCTGCTTATTATCTTATTTCGGTGGTTAATGACTTGTAGATTATAGTACATCAAGTAATATCCTTCGATCTAAATGACTCTAGCATTGAAATCCTTTTCCTTCTAGGTTCGCCACAATCTATCGTTAAATGAATGCTTTATTAAACTACCCAAAAGTGCCGGAAGGCCTGGGAAAGGCCATGATTGGGCACTCGATTCTTCATGTGAGTATATGTTTGAAGATGGATCGTTTCGTCGCCGGCCTCGCGGTTTCCGTCGTCGATGTCAAATGATTCAAGATCGAGCTCGTGCAGGCTACCCAGTTAACAAACCGTCTACGTTGCACATTCTATCGTCTATACCTAGTAATGCTGAAATCAATGAAACGATCAACTCCAATAATCATGAAAATCCTCATGCAAACAATTGCGTGACATCGATCGAACATGAACGGTATCATCCTAAAGAAACTATTCTGGCAAATAATTCAATAACAGATCAAACGCAACAAATTATCACTTCATCTGGCCCATTTTTTACCGGTGCAGCCACAACCTATCATAGTGGATACCTTGAATCAGCTAATCCATTTTATAATCAAGATAATACTAGTAATTCATCATTTTTGTCAGCATCCTATGCAGATGTTCAATGGAGAGGTTCGGTAGAATACACTGAAAGTAATAATGCAAATTTAACGGCGACTGAGTTTATCCCAATTGGAAGTCGTTCTTTACCACATCAGTATCCATTTCCAGTCTACTCTCATCATCCTGGTTTAACTAATCAAAGTGGAATTGCATCCTATCAGGCATACGGTTTTCCTTACGGTTGTATCGATAATGCCAATGAATACTCATTTACTGCTAATAATACCAATCATAATGATAGTGGCAATACTGGTGATGTGAATACAGACGGCCAAGCTAATGATAATTCGCCCAACAAGAATACTATATCAGCTGTATCTACAGATGATAATGTCGGCAATCTTTATGATGATGCAATTCAAGCTGAACTGTCTATGAAATCTGTATCTGCTTCCAATGTAATTACCCAAGTAGAAATTTCAACAGATTATAATAATTCAAGCATCAATCCCAATAGGTACTCGACCTCATTAGTTATGTCTCCTGTGAATACTACAAGTCGTGAAGCTAACGAGACTAACACCGCATCACCTGAGGCTAATAGTATCTCCAACAGTAAGGTTACTTCACCTATTAATTCTAACGATAATCAAACATCCGATCTGCAAATGTCTGATGTTACCGAAAGTATCTATGATGTCGATGATGCAAATCTACCTTCTTACACAACGTTACCACCAACGTCGTTAATGTCATCACAGGATCTAGACTATTCTAATAGTCAAGTAGAAGAATATAACGATTCTCCCAACAGCAACAAATTGCAAGAAATTTAAGCTCTAATTATCGTTGTATACTTAACCTAGAATAGCCAATTTTGTACATTTTTTGGTATTTGTGAAAGCGAATATCGCCCGATTTTTTACAACTCAAATCATCTTACACAACGTTACCACCGACGTCGTCAATACTACCACAGGCTCTAAACTATTCTAAAAGTCAAGTGGAAAAATGCAACGATTTTCCTAACAGCAACAAATTACAAGAAAGTGAAGCTCTAATTATCGTTGCATCTTGAGCTAGAATAGTCAATTGTACATTTTTTGATATTTGTATAAGCGAATATCGCCCATTTTCAACTCAAATAGGAGGTCATTGTCAGATTATACCTATATACAGTACTGTATTTGTAATAATTAAATTTTACATGATGTTAATTAAATTGATATATATTTTTATTTTAGCCTTATTTTGATTAACCTTCACTTATTGCATATGTGAAATCATTATCAAATAATAGCGTTTCCGTGGTTGGATAATACCTTTAGATATTATATTTTTTCTGTGATTATAATCTACAGTATGTATTCACCAATTATAGCAAACAAACGGCTCGAATTGTAAACATTATGCAACAAACAAACGAATGATGATCGTTTTTCTTGATATTGTACCTATCGTGTGCTAGCTAATACTGTAATTTCCTATCAACTCACGTTTGAGTAAATTTATGCGTAGAGAGGTAGAAACGATTTTCTTAAAGGAACGCGCTGGCTATACGCATTGTTATATTTTATTCTCACTTTTTAGTTCGAAATACGCTTTGTTACTGCTTTTTACTAGTCGTACAATACAATTGTGATTCATTTTATTATAGTATAGTGATATAAGAATATTCGATTTTTTCAAGATATCATTAATCCACTTAATTTTCATATCGTCATATGTTTTTAATCGTTAATGATGCACCCTAAGCGTACAATAGTATTTCATATATCGACTGTATTTTTATATTGCACGATCATTCTGTTACGTTTTTCATGGTATCTTTTTGATGGGTAACTAAAGGAAGAAGCATGCAATTGACTTAAGCCAACTGTCAACTCATAAACAATTTGAGTTTTCTGGGTACGTTAAATGCGCCAATTCTGTACTCGGATTGCGACGATGTTCAAACTTGATAAATTTAAAACTTTTGCTGTTTTTAACCTACGATATCGGTTATCTTATATGGAGCTTAACTACGGTATTTTTAATTGTATACTTTGACTTATCTCGTAAATAAGATTGATTTGATTTTCTAATTACTGCTACGTTATCGAAAGCGACACAAGTCTTTATTGCTAATAGCGCTATGTTCAACGGGCCTGGATTGAATGTGTTGTTAAATAAGTGTAACGCAAGTTCGATAGTGTTTAAATTGTGTAGCTAAAATTAGTTGAAGAATTATTAAACACATTTTTCATGCTGTTTGAAGTGTAATTGATTAAGTTTGCTTCTTTTTTAGTACAAATCATAGCTTAACTTTGAAAGTTTACGTACATACATGAAGCCTATTAAATCTATCTGACACCCTGATATTTTGCAAGTACGTACAACTAATACTTTAACATGAAATTTTTATAATTAGATCTAAGTAAAAATAGTGTTAGAGTTCTTCTCAGGGTAGCTACTCTAAGATAAACAAATGAAAAAAATTGACGCAACGCATCACTCAGTGAGAAAAGCTACAACTAGGTATAACAAGTTATAGATTTTCAGTTTCAAATTATTCTACGTATAAACAACATAGTCATAGGTACTATTAACTATACTATTTGATGAAATTGCTAGTTTCATCAAATTATATCAACGATTGATTCTTTCTTATGCTTGGATATAATGCAAGACAGATTACGAATGTTGTTACAGTTTCTTGAATATCATTTGATTAATTATAAGGCTATAGCGAGTAATTCATCCTTCATGATTTAAAAGATAACTCAATATAATTCAAAGACTTAGAACAAGCTAGCTAGAAACTACAATATGCAGAAGATACGACTAAAATTAAAAAGTACAAGGTATGAAAACAAATCTTCATATTATAATAGTTTCAAATACGTATGCCCTATAGACTGTTGAAACATTAAGAATGCAGTCTGGTGAGAATTTATAACAGAATTGGCCAAAGGTGCAATATTACTAGTAAAAAAAATCAAGAACTGCCATCAATAACTATTCTCAACATCAACTACGCATGATGTAGCTGTTGATATAATAACATTATAACGAATGATACTGTAACGCGTATGTGATACCACAATTACATTATTCTATACATACAAGATTTATATTAACAAATCATATTCTGATTTAATCCATTGACAATTCAATAATGCAGTTCATACATCGGCACACAAACTATTTTAATAAGGCTTCAGTTATAACATGATAAATCTTCACTGAATAAATCCGTTAGGAGCGCAAATTAAGACCTTGGTACATTGGAGATTCTTCATCTTGCTGTTTTAGTTCAATATGTTCTAAGGAATTTTCAAGATGTTTCTTTATTTGCTCATTATCATCATTTATTTCTAGTGTAGCCATTTCTTCATTTATTTTGTCGATTAATTGTTGTAGGGTTGATTCTGCGACCTATGGTTTCAAATAAATAAGATTAACAATGTCACTATTCCTATCAATAAAAATGACTTTTTAACGGGCGGCTCATAAATACAGTTATAGCTTACCTGTTCATTCCCCTTCTCGTAAAAGTAAAGATAACGATCAAGAACCTCGGTAAACAATTGTACTTGAACGGATTTATCCATACATTGATTCGCAATTCGTAGAGATTTCTTTAAACACTCACTGACTCGTTTACCATCTTTAGACTGTAAAAAAAGAATAAGAAGAAAGTGTTATGATCTAGACAGTTACAAAATCGGATTGTCTTTCAAATCGTGAAGTGACAACCTCCTCCTCAGAGTCTTTCGTCTTGCCGGACCAAAATAATTGAGCACTTGTATAAACCCCTCGACACTGAGCTGGTTTTTTTAGTAATTTAGATGCGACTAATGCACATTGTGTGCGAAGGGGTTCATGATTTTCTTCTCCAAAACATGACATTTGCTCAAAAGTGCCAATAATTAGCGTTATAGCAGCTATTTGAGCCTTATAATCACTAATTTCGTCTTCGTAGATAGCAAAAGCCTAAGGATACATATAAAAGAAATTGTCAATTTTGAAACCACATGGCAATTCCGAGATATTCATTAATTAGTATTTCAAACCTGGCTAATATATTCATAAGCAATATTTTCTCTACCCTCGTAATCGTCTTGGCGGTCAGCAGCTAAAGCTCCCTGCAAGTATAAACGAAGGGACAATTCGAACATTTCTGCCTTGACAAAGGCAGAAATAGTTTGTAAGGAAAAGGCAAATATCTTGTCACATTTTTTATCCCATTTCTCATCCTATTTGAATAAGCAAAAATTTCCGCCTGTTTAGTCTACCTTCCTTGTACCATCATGTTTTAGTCGCTTGATAAAATAATATCGCTGAATGCTATTCCTATAGAACTATACTGACCTCATCCTTGATTAGATTGTATGAATTTACCAGATTGTAAGCAGAGAATACTATAGGAAGTAAAGTGTAACTGATTCGCTTATCGCCTCCGCTACCAAGATGTTTCCTGGCAGTATTTAAAATCTAATGTGATTAAAATGGATACAAAAGCATTAAAAAAATTGACCTCATTCAATTACCAAGGACGATCACGTTAATCAGAAATTTACCCTAAACTGTTGATCTGGAGTGTCAGAATGAAGTACATTAATCAGTCTACCCATTAATCCCTGCTCTTCAGCAAATTCGTCGGGGTCCTCCTAAAGGAAAAATTTACCAATTATCAAATCGTATAGATTTTACAAAATTATAACAGTTACGTAAAATTCTCATACGATATCAGTTCATATAAATCATAGAGTATATAAACCTACGCGTAATATTAACTTACTCCTTCATTAGGTTGATCAGGTTGATCTTTTATCAATGGGTCGAGCAACTCAAACACAAATTCAGCCTAATGTATATTAACGTAGCAATGTCATCGTTATAAAAGGTAAAATTATTTGATCAATAACTTTACATATGCAAGATAAAATTTCATATTATGACCTCTTCCGGTGAAGGGATATCAACGGCAACATCTACAATTCGGTTAGCTATATAAACTGCTATTTCTTTCCTTGGTTCGTAGCTTAAACGTGATAAAAGTTCCGGATAATCTTTCAATTCTACAACAGTTAGAATGCTGTCATATATGTCGATCGGGATCTTTAACATCCGTGTGAGCTCGATGCATAATGGAGTACCGTTTGGAATGCTGATTTTAAAGATGGAATAAAAATTGACATTTACCAACAAAAATCACTTTTTAGATCTTAATACAGTACTGTCAATGTATCAAAAAATAAAATTCTTGCCTGTACTTTCCTACATCCAAGCTGTTCAATAGATCAACCGTATGCTTACAAACTTTATCAACGTAGTCGACTCGTTCTGGATAGCATTTTAAAGCTAAGCTCAACAATGATGCTTGGAGGGTAATCATGTCTTCCTTAGGCATAGTGCTTGATCGTGACTAAATAGACATTAGAAAAGGAAATACGTAAAGTTTTTACGGATTGCTGATACTTTAAGGAGTACAAAGACAAGAAATTAAAGTACCTTTAAAACACTGGAGACTTCTTCAGAGAATACTTCAAACAACTTTATTTCCTCTGGTATTCCAGGACCGTCATCACGTTGAGCGAAAGCAGCCAAACGATCAGCAAGAGCAGCAATGATTTTCTTAACATTGACAGGACTTTGCAATTTCTGACAAGCTTTTAGCAAAGAGTTCAAGGTTTGTAAGTGAAATTCATCCGGAAATACCTAAAAAGGTCATACAATAAGGTGATATCGATTAAAAATTGTATCTCATTGCCATAATGTAACTTTAAAAAACTTAAGCTTACTTGTATAATACATTCCATGAGATATTCTTGGGATATAGGATCCTTGCAGTTGACAATCTGTTCTAAGACACTCGAGAGTACACTCTAAGAAAAGATAAAAGAAACTGTATTATAATAAACGTTATTCAATTTTTTACCCTAATAAAGTACCACCATAAGTACGGGTAGCTATTGCAACATTTTAGGTAGGGCACACACGATTTACAGATACGGTATGATCGGCAGCGATAATACACGAACCTCTTTGTATCTTGTGACATCTATTCCATCTAATTGACTCAAACGAACAAGGTTAGTACCAACGAGTAGACAGAGTTCTTGGCGCTCTTTTTCACGTCTATCTTTATCACGTGTATGGCCCTGGTGTTGCATACGAACCCATAACTTATTCATTTCAGAAAAGTTCAGCAAGATGAAATCGATGGAATCTTGTACATCACCATCATTGCTACTACTATAAATGCATTGGAAGAAGGATCAAATAATTACGAGTGTAATACCACAGACTTGGCCTTTTTACAGCTGACAACCGTATAGTAAGTTTCTTACCTTGCGTCTTCATCTACGTCTGGTAATTGATTTCGGGTGCATTGCAACAGATAATTTCTAAGGAATAGGCCTCTTAACGGATGTTGGACACCGCGGCACATTTCCACTAGATCTTTTAACACACTTTTTCTGGATGAAAACTTGCACTTTATAAATACAACTCCGACTGTAACCAATAAATACCTAAACAATTTTACGTATAAAAAATAGAGAGAGAGAAAATAAATGCTGTGCTGCAATAAAGTGATTTAATCAATCGTGTCAATCTTACAGTCTAGGAACAATATTGCCGGCGTATTGGACCAATTCATATAAATCATTTGGGAGGGTATTCTTGTCGAATTCGTCCATTAAGTGCAATGATAAATGTTGCAATTCATTACTTACTTGCATGTCTGTCAAAAATTGGAGTCAAGGTAATTTCATGAATATCTTTTACTGATCAATTAGACGACACAAAACATTGATACGACAGTAGATAACTTCTTATTGATAGCGATCCAAAATTTTCTATCGGAATCTATAAGGGAATAATCATCGTAATAGGTAGGATACAGAGCACATAATAGTTTTTCGGCGTTAACATGGAAGTTCGTAGTTCGCAAAGCATATTGGATGCATGCTTGAGAGCGTCCATTAACTTTCCTTGGTCCTATAAATAAGCCGCAAATTTAAATTTAGTCCTAAGCGTAGATGAAGTTAATTTTATTGCAACTGCTATAATAGAATATGTTGAGATGTTAAGTAAAATTAAATGACTTGCAATCTACTGTATTCAATTTAAGATAGCGGAGAAGACATTTAAGATTACTACATTAAATGCATGTGAATTATCTCAGTAAGTTGCCTTACGATACTCTATCGGGGTTGCTGTATCAATTCTACCGTACTACGCTATATCATTAGCTGCATCTCCTAAAACATTTACTAAGATAGTGGATATTGAAACGCTTGATAGTGTAACCGTATAGTCTACTTTCTTATACATTAGTTTAAGAAGATTCAGTACTGAATTGACAATATTAGATGGTCCAAAAAATTCATTAGGCCTTATTGATGATCACATTTTCGTAACAGTAACCTATTTCGACTTGTATGGAGAAAATGTGTATGACAACTACACTTGCAATATCGATATTAGACTGTCGGATTCTGTCATAATAATTGCAGTTTCTCTCATTTTCCGTCTTGCATATGCTAACAAGCAAAGACAAAAGTAACCAAGTTGCACTCCAAAAATAAATAGTCGCTTATTCCGTCATTCGTATACTGTACTATCTATCCTGACTGGTCAATGGCCATTCCCTTTTCAAAGTATATTGACTGTAAATACTAGGATTCATTTAATTTATGATGATTTGGTTATGGAAAACTACCATTTTAGCGCTATGAGATACGTATACTGTCCTATTCAATTGCCTATTGGTGTTCTTTACACTAAAATATGATACAAATTGAATAGTTGAGCTACAGCAATGTATTTGTCACTACCTTACATATCACTGTTAAAAGATTGAAGAAATTCAACAGCTGTAATGTAGTAGAATCATGACTGGCAGGTGGCAGATATTGCCATCGGAATGCACTAGCTGTCAGTAACTTTAGTGATCGTCCATATCCATTCTACCGTACTGTCATAGTGTAGTATACGCGTGCATACTGTACCGTTTAGGCAAATGCAGTATTGGACATTGTTGCCTGACTACTCTTTTATCACTACCAATAGTTCTAGCCTTGAAGCTAGGTAAAAGAGGCAATTCTCAACTTTTCCACATAATACACTAAGCTACAAAATGCTGATGAATGCTTTTACCAGCCATCTCTTCATTAAGAATGATTCACTTTTGACGACTTGGGCGGCTTCATCAAGCAATTTCTCCTGCTCTTCGTGGATGACGGAACTTGTGGCTGGCTGCAAAGTTGGAAGAGAGAAGAGTTGAAAATATTAATTCCCAATTGATATTATTAGCCAGGAAATGAGCACAAGTAAATGCTCTCTAAGTTCTACAATCATTCAATACTATAGAATAGAATTCATTTGGTAGAGATATGAGTTTAAAATGAAGATTAATAACACAATTTATCCATCCAATATTGATCTAAAAATGGAGAACGACTACCGACCATGATGATCTCTGGATCATATGATACATGAAGAGAATGGCAACTACGCATGTGCAAGCCTGTCCACCGTCCGAAACTGCGCCTGGGTATTAGGACTTGTATGAGAATTTCTCTTGCTGGTTCTCATATCGACCAACCCTACCAGTATTTTTATATATATGTCAGTAGAGAGCACAGAGAGTGTCTCGGGTAGGGGACCCTCTGTTGGTCTCTTTCCTCGAGGTTTTTATGACGCCTTTATCCAGGCAAACTAGGACAGAATATACCTAATCGTGCATGATCTTAGCGACATGATTAATCTACCTAAGGAGTGCTAACAACACACTAGTATTTCCAAATCGGCTATTCGCTTGGTTTGGTTGGTTTATACGGCTGCCGACAGCTTTTTGGACTATTCGCCCATCACCAGCCTTTACCCCATTTCGTTTCCCCACTTTTCATACTGTACACAGTAGACTCGAGTCTACTGTACTACGTCTAGCTCACGATTCTCAGCCCATAGTACAGTATGTACTGTAGTAGTCGTTGACCCCCTCCCCCTCCCCCCCCCGGTCAGGATGTTACAGTACGTCGACATTTGAGTGCATAGTATTGTACATTGTACACTGTACACTGTACAGTTGGACTGGTGACGACGGTGAGGACCCAACTAGACCCAACTAGACCCAACCAGCCTCCAGAGAAACGACGTGGATTTGACGAACTGGTCCAGTGGCTCAAATTTCACTCTGCTAGTGAAAAAAAGCAAATGCAAAATTGATCTTGCAACGCCGAACTGATTGCTCCTTTTAGCCTCTTTTCACCGCCAATACACAAACCAATTACGGTCAACAATTCCATTGAGGATATTGCAGCTGGTAGGTCAAATTAGTCGTTGTTTGCATGTCAAATCCATCCGTATGTAGAGGATATCGATCACTGCAAGAAGTCGCCTAGTCAGATGGACGTACTGTACTATACCGTAGACGTACCGAATACCATGACAACTGGATCACCAATGAGCTTATTCCAACAGCTATCCATCTCATAATCGTTATAGGAAATTCTTCACTTAATTTACACCTTTCTACAAGAGTTAATTAGACAACAATAATTCATATTACAAGAGTTTATAAGCATAGGCAAACAATACTGTAGAGTATCGTCGATACGGAGGTAAAACAACGACGTTATTATTTCTAGGATAGCAATTAGTAACGGTATGAAAAGATCATTTTTCCTTCAACTTGGCTAGGAATGGATAAATTAATAAGGCAAAAATTTTATCTTTTATAGCTCTTTGCAGTATTATAAAATATCTATACAAGATAAACAAGCAAGAAACAAAATAAAAGTGTACAATTGATTAAACGGTATATCAGGAGGATACAATCCATCAAATAATAACTCTATTTTTTCCACACTAAGCGCTCTCCTTCTAACACATTATAGATAGATTGGAAGTCCATCTTTTCACTATTCTTTGGAAATGGTGCATGTATCTAAAGTCCTGAAAAATAAAAATGTCTAATCAAGACAAAATTCGTCGCATGTTGGAAAAATCCCGAAAACAAAGTCAAACTAAAAATGCACGTGTCATTGCTAATCGATATCGAGTTGTTCGAAAAATTGGTAGTGGAAACTTTGGTGTTGTATTCCTTGTCAACGATTTGAATACTGAAGAATTGTAAGTATCCTTCTTTTATTCATATGGATTGATCTTTCAGCAGTAATATTAAATTCTATCTTATTTCTAATACTAGTCAAACTCTTCTTCGAGTTACTTGATTCATAACACCCTATACAGTAGACTACCATTAGAATCAATACGAGTAGAACCTTCTTGTATTGCTATCTTAACCCACTGCACCTCAGAAAGTCTGAGAACGTGTATAGTCTATTATTGACCTACATTAATGAAATCCATTGATTGGTACATAGACTGCCATAATTATAGTCGATATTAAACACTACTTCATGTTCCATTGTTTCATGCTAGCAAAATATGCAGCCTAAAATTAAATCAACCTTCAGTGATAGTCAATGATGATATCCTAATCTATTTTGGACCTCCAACTACCGGTATAACGCTAAACGCCGATAATTTATCATCGTGGATAGCTCACAAGAACCAAATATATCTCTCCAAAAAAATTGAATCTACATAAACAGTTAGCCTTGATCTATTTGACTTAATTCAATCAGAATTGCCTTCAAATGAATTCACATCTAGCTTCGTCAACGCTACGAAGGCTGTATTAAGTAAAACAATAAAATATCGATCATCATTTTACTTATAGAGACATATCGATAAAACTAGTATATCGCCACGTAAAAGCTGCTTGCACCTAATCAAGTTAATCAAATAAAAAACGACATGATTATTTCTTTACAAAAGCTTTTCTGTCGTACGAATTCAATGACAGCACTCTTAGCGATGGCGTAGTATAATTCATATCCCATGCAATTGACTAAAATCTATAAGTACGTTACGTATCTGTGATATTTTAAATTACTTTTCTTGTAAAACGATCTGTCTTGAATTAATTGGAGGAAGATATATCAAATCATCCTAATAATATACCAAATTCAGGCCAAATTTAAGCGATTGAAATTTGAGTAGCGGTATTGATACAAAAATAGGCTATTACAGATTGCAAACCCTCACAACCAGACCTAATAATACTATTACATAAACTGCCTAATAACTAGCCAACATTAGCGTAGAAATACCTATTTTCTACTGCTTATAATTGTTATTTACAATTTACAATTCCATTGTACCCATTCATTCATGCTTTCTACAATGGCGATAAAAAATTGAAGAAATAGAACTCTTAGTACTTGAATCTTTAATTTTTTATGCTATAACGAGAGTTCTTGGAAATATCTGAACCCATAGATGTAAAAAAGCTATTCTGTAATATTCTAATTTAAACTTTAAAGCCTTTTCGAATTTCTATATTACATTAACTTGCTATCTCAAGGCTGGACTTTTATAAATCACTATACGATAATTCTCTCCATTTTCAAATCGTCATCTTACTCGTACATTCAGTAGTAATGTATGTAAGATAGTTAAATAGTATTATTTATATATGGTATTAATAATTTTAGTTAAATCTCCTAGTTATAGATTCATATGCGAACAATGAATAGATTACCTTAGATGCAAATTTTTACAATTACACTATAATTAATAGTTACTAGGCTTTAAAGCCTAACAGAGCCCTATTGAAACTATTTCTATTATAGGAAAGTGTTAAAAGAAATTGACATTGGCAATTTACAGCCCGATGAAACTATTGATGCCGCAAAGGAAGCTAATTTATTATCTAGTGTAAGCATTAAAATCTCCCATACTTTGGCTTGACTGGTACTGCACGCCTTTAAGCGCCTATTCAAAATAGCTATACTACTGCAAATTAGCAACTATAAAAATATTAAACTTTATTGTTTCTTAATAAGAATGTTTTCTATACTGTATTTCTTAAAATAGTTAAATCATCCCCATATTGTACGATTTTATGAAAGTTTCGTTTCTGATGGTAGCTTTTGCATTGTAACAGAGTATTGTGAGGTAAGACTATACGAGTATATCGTCCTTACATTTTAGAATATAATTATTTGCGAATGTATTTATTGCTGATATAATACTTATACATTCATGCGCATACCTTTATCTTTAATAATTAAAGGGTGGAGATCTAGACGAGAAGATCAAATCAATCCGAAAAAGTAGTACAACTCTGGATGAGACTTTAATAGTTACTTGGTTTATTCAGTTACTATCTGCTGTGCAGTATATTCACAAAAGGTTGGCGATAGATATTTAAAATAACAATCCCTATATTTTCTTATCTGCCTATACATATATGCTATCTTACTGTTAGACGATTTACATTAATAATATACTCTATACTCTAATGTATCTATAGGAGAATACTACACCGAGATCTTAAGGCAAGAAATATATTTCTTAGAAATAATGTCATTAAAGTTGGTAAGAAACGGGAATAATTTTATAATATCATCTTTATAAACTCACAAAAACATTAAAACCTCGAATAATTTATTTTCTATTTAAAAATGGTATAACTTAACAGGTGACTTTGGTATTTCCAGAGTACTGTCTGGTACTTCTGACTTCGCCACTACTTTTGCTGGCACTCCGTATTATATGAGCCCAGAGGTTTTAGACCATAACGCTTACAATTCTAAATCGGATGTTTGGTATGATAATTACAGTATTTCTTATTCGAAATTCTGTTTTTTCGGATATATCAATTTTTGACTTTCCTTAACCTCAAATTAGGGCGTTAGCCTGCATCCTTTATGAACTTTGTTGTCTTAGACATGCATTTGAAGGACAGGTTCGGCGGATACTTTCAGCTATAGATCCTCGAATTAAACTAAAATTATTAATAGTAATTTTTATGATTTTGTCACTTATAGAATTTACTAAACGTCATGCGAGCAATTCTTGAAGGAGAAATACCAGAATTACCAAGCATTTATCACACCGAACTTCGTCGAGTTTATCTTGGGTACATATTTTATAAATATTATTCAAACTATTCAAATCCTAAACTCTCCTATTCGGCCAATAATCAATTCACCCATTTCATTTATGGATAGGATGCTACAAAGAGATCCGAAACAGCGCTTCTCAATCAGTGAAGTTTTACAAAATCCATTCATTTGTTACCATGCTCGGGTATAATATTAGAGCGACAAGTAATGTGAAATGTATCGAACAAAAACGCTAATAAATTAAATTAATATCATGTTGATCATTGCAGAGAATAGCTATTAGCCTTGAAGATGATAAAGCTCGTTTAAATGCAGATAACAGTCCCAATAGGTCTCGTTCTCCAGAGATACGGTATATAAAATAGATAGAATGTGATAAGTATTTGGGTAGGTTTTTAATGTTCTCGATTTATATCAATTTAATCGCTTCGCTAGTCATCAAAAAAAAAGAATAATAACCGAAGAAGATTTTAAGAAAATGACCCCAAGGTCGGTTATAGTAATAAATTTCGTAGTCATGCCATCTTTTGAAGCTGTTTAATTAACAGTTAATAAAATGTTGACATGATATCTAATTGCACTTCAACAGTAACTACTGTATGCGCTAAATAGTCTTTATACGTTTTACAGGGAAAGAGCGCGCTTAAGAAAGCAATTAAAAGCTGACGAACAAGCTGAAAAATTAAAGTAATAAATATACAATGCGTTCTGTCCAATATTATTTTGTGTTTTTATTACCCTATGTTAATTTATTTTAATTTCATCTATAAACTATTATTAGGAAACTTGCCGCTTTAAATTTACAGGAAAACAAAAATAGATATTCACAAAATAAGGTTAGTTCGTTATAACACCTAGTCTTAATAGTATTTTTTTAATTAATACCGTATTACTGTTTATCTCGTATACAGGACCTTAACTTTCTTGACTAAATAATACAAGTTTAAATCTAATTATATCTTTAGTAACATTAAATCTCAACCTGCTCTAGGATAAGAACGTTTTTCCTCATGTTGAACAAACATCTATACAATTCGGGTGGAAACCCAATCGTGACGAAAATTTATCGAACATGAGCACTTCAAGTAAGCTATAATACTATATAACAATCACGTCCGTAACAGTTTACTTGCCTTATTACGAATAAACAGATAAACTAGCTTTCACTCGATTAATAGCTGTCGCAAAGTATCATCTAATAGTGTTATAAGGACTAGTTGATTATATGCGATCATTACTGGATTAGTAGGAAACGATCTATGTATTATTCGCATATCCTACTAGCTCACCTGAAATTCGTATTGTTTGACGCTTTTATCACCGTCATAATAGCATTCGCTACTATTATGAAATAAATGGCTTTGAGGATATTGCTGAGTTTCGGGTCACTGTTACTATTCACTACTCTTATGTATCTGTAAAAATTGCATCCTGAATATATTAACATGTACATATCCAATTGCCCAGTAATTCTGATGTTATTTAAATGCTTGTATTAATTACTTAATAAGATCTCTAGTAAAATACAATAGTATAAATTTCACACTGATTTTAATTGATTTATGCATATTCAAATCGCTCTTAGGCGAGCAAGAGTTTATGGCTGAACAAGATAGGCTTTATTCTTTAAAATCGGATACAAATAAGCTTTCTGAATCTTCTCAATTAGCTGAAAGCGATAAGTTAACAAACGAGGAGGATATTGCTGGTAATAAAAGTAAAAGTAATTACATATTTACCTGTCTAATTTAAAATGTAGATTAATTAAAATTTATAATTTGAATGTTCAGTAGTGATGCTTGACCAAAGTTTTCCTATTTAGAAAGTACAGTAGGCCAATGATATAACAATAAACGAATTCCATGATAAAATTAACTTGTACTATCGCCTATATAGACAATCAAATACCAGATACACCAGAAGAAGCTGAAACATTTTATTATGAGGTATTTATTATTATTGTCTTAAATATTTATTTGATAATTAAGTTAAGTAAGCTGTTTAATAACTTTGTGATATGTTTGATTTTTGATATATTAGGAAGATGATTTCGAAGAGTCTTCCGATAGTTCAGTAGACGATACCATGGTAACGTATACTTAGATTTTATTTTTAATAGATTAATTAAATTTTACTAATATGCATAAAAAGTTCCAATTGTTAATAGCAGAGCCCTAAGTCTCACTTCTATGTTATAGGAAGCACACGGAAAACTAGCCCATTGCCTAATGGAAGCTCTTGAAGGTTCCTAATTTTTAACAATTCGTTATCATAGTATTTATATTAATTATGTAATAAAGAATTTAAGATTTACATTAGATAGCAATAGGAAACTCTCTTCTCAAAGGCGTTATAGACAATGCTATTTTATTTCGGTAAAATAGATAATCACTATATTCTGTATTAGATTCCAAAACTTCGGAAGATAATAACACCGATATGCAGATCGCAAGTGCCGAAGTGTCTTTCAGTATGAGACAACATAGAATAGAAGAGCTTCGAAAGTATCCAATTACATTTATAATAATTCATTACTGCATTTGATACAAATTAGTAACGTAAACCATTTCGCCACCTAAAGCGGAATCGGTAGGTATTACTGACAGCTACAAGTAATTATTTTTCTTAACCTGGATTTAGCGAATGTACACGATTACTAGGTGCGGCGAATTTTAAGAAGGCCTACAGTTACTTAAAAGACGCCAGACTTAGCCGAGAACCACAAAGTGAAGATCAAATTATCCGAGGATTACGTAAAACAGTAGATAATTATAGAGATTGCTTTTTAGTAGATCAATTACTGTGCTTAGAGTATCAAAATCACGTTATTTAGCTACAAATTTTAGCTATATGTACAATATTGATTAGTGATTATACCCATTTCTTTACAATTTTAATAATGCTATTTCTTTCTTATTTCTAAAATGGAGGATGCATATACGTATATATTGGTAGCTATGCTATGATCATACTAGATTGTAAATATTGAAACAGTATTTCATTATACTGTTTTCCTTTTCATGAGCAGTATATTTGAGTCGGCCAATTTCAGTTAATAGATACTTATCTAATGATACGGCTTAATAAACACCTATGCTTATTTAATTAATGAACTCTTCAGATTGTATATCGAATATAATCCAACTGAAAGAAAACTGTCGCCGTCTATTTTTTAACATTTATGTACGTTTTAACTATGATCTGATTAGCTGCTGTAATCGATGGTACGATATTTTTATTATCTTGCTGTACTGTACAAATTTACGTATAACTAAAATTGATAGATTGCTTATATATTATATGCATTTCAAGTATAAATAAAAATAAAGTTATCTTTGTAAAATAAGTGGAATAGTAAACGGAGGTTAACCGTTTATCGTTAATAAATCACACAATCTACGTACGTATTTTAAAATTTTTAAAAGGTATTTTAACGTTATGCTTGTACGGTACTGTATTATGTATATTATACGCCTGATGTATCGCAAAATAGTCAAAGATCAACACTTGATATAATTACTCTATGACTATACAAATGAAAGTAATTATTCTTATTGATGCATCATATTTATTTGGTTTTACTGCAGCTATTTATTGAACATAAATGTTCAAACTGATAAATTAGTCCTAAATTATAATCTTATATAATTAACGCATACTGCCTTAAGCTATACTGGTATAATATTTCCGTTGATCAAAAATAGCTTTTCATATTTTCTTAAAGATTCTGTTATAGAATATTATCGTATATAGCGCTACACTTCTACCAATCCCTTTAATTCCAAGTTTATAATTAATTTATAGATTGAGATTTACACTAATAAGAAATTACTGGAAATCATAGAATAAAACCGAAGCTCATGCGATAAATAAGCGGGCTTATTGTGTATGAACACGGTGAATACAGGATCACTATAAAGGCAAATTCCCTACACCCATACATCCAACAATGAATTGCATGTAATTAATGCGCTTCAATTATAGAGAAACATTAAAATTTATACAGGAATAATTAATCAAATTAATAATATCCTGCTCGGAACATCATATTTAAATAGCTATAATCAGCGGCACCGAGTGTACTTAGATTCTAATTACAGCAGTATCAAACATTAAAAATAATTATCATTTTCTCAATATGACTAATCTGCATTTGTAATATTGTTGTTAGAGGCCTGAGATGGACATTCAAAGTAAGTACAGTGAAAAACCTGTATAAAAGGGTAGATGAAGTTTTATTAATTAGATCTGATAAAAATAGGAATAAATTAACTGGATTGTTCGATGAAGCAATGTATATCATCAGTGCGATATCAAGATAAAACTTACATCATTAACAGAGTTTTTCGTTCCGACAATTTTAATAAAGGAAACAGGTTTAGTGTCAAATTGTAACTCCTGCCACGAGCTTTTAGGTAAGATAATTAAATAAATCAAATTTTTGTAGTAATGTCTCGAATACGAAAGATTATATTATTAAAGTAATCAATACTGCGCTTTGTAAACGAGAAAATATCATACCGGCATTGAGTGCCTTTTTGATCCTTTATACGGATCCAGTCTTCCTGATTTACGGATATCTCGACATAATAACTATACCAACGATCGTCTAAGTCCCATAATAGAAATCTAAAACCAAAAATTATCGCTTTTTAATCTCATACTATTATAAGCCGAAAGATTTTAATGCATCATAACCAATACGATTTTTTAAAAGAGAATGAATGATTACAAATGCCCTAAATCTTACCGTAGAGAATTAATTAAATATGGTTGCCCAAGTTGTATAACAATGCCGCAAGGACATCCGTTTATCTGATGACATACATAACCGCAGTCCCAGTCATAGTCTTCAGAGAAAGCGCCACTTAAAAATTTGTTATTGGATCGATTAACGCCTTGTATCAGAGCTGCACCTTTGTCGTGTACGGCAATATTAGTGTTTGGTACTGTAATTAAAGAAAAATTTTAGCAATCAGATCCATACTGTAAAATACGCTTTCGCTTAGCGTTATTTACAACAATACTTTTATATTAAATCCGAATATCCTTGTAAATTAACTAATTGTATTCACAAACCCATTAATCCATTCATATATTCACGTATTGGCCATGATAGTTTATTTAAATAACATTCAAATGACATGACACAAAATCTTCGGTTAATAATATTTCTGCTTCCAATAACTCGAATATATCTAAAAATCAAATGATATATATTAAGTTATTGTTAAATCTATTTATCTTTCAATTTCAGTACAATACTACAATTTTCATTTAAATATACGTTTACCTTACAACAGTAGGACGAAACATCAAGTGTTGCCACGAACGACAATAATAACCACGATAATCGATGATTTCTCTCCAATTTATATTATCAGTTGAAACTTTAATGTAATAAGAATTTGATGGGCTCTCTTTATCCATCAAAAGCATACGAATCATATTAACGATATATTCACGTCCTAGAGTAATTAATACGCCACCGTGGTCATCTTTTAAATCAATGTCATGATAACCTATACCATTTTGCCAATCATAACTTATTGAAATTTCTGATGGATCACGCTGATTTTCAGCTAAAATAGTAGCACCCAAAGATTTGGCGGCAACATTATTATCTTGAACTATAATTCGATGACATTTAGTTTTGATCGTTAAAGATTATTTATTAAAAGCATCAATAAAATTAATTTTATTACGAAAGTTTACCCACCGGAATACCCTCTAGGTGTTGATTCCAAATAATTATTAACATCAATATCCTGTATAGTATCAAGGATAATTTCTGGCGAGATCAATTTTGTCTCACGAACGACAAGCAAAAGATCGCGTCGATTAATAAGATGTAATCTGATGCAGGGTATTACCTATAAGAGATTGCACAAGAATTAAAAATAACGTTAAACTAGCTAGCTTTAATTATTGTAATATAACTATGTTAAGTTTCAGTATCTATAAACCTTCAAGATGTGTATAATCATGAACTTTTATCCAATTTACTTTGTAGAATGTAAGACACAGTTTACTTGAGCAAGGTTGTAACGTACGTTATTTAACTATTAACTTTAAGACCTCAATTAATCTCTCGTCAAATTCTTAAATCTCAGGATACCACGATAACAATAAGCAATTTGTATTCTTGTAGACAATCAACGCTATATTCTACTTGTACAGTAAATAACTTTGTCACTGTACGAGAGGATACGACTTACAATGTTATAATTGTAAGTACGTACTGTATATGTCACTTGTAGCTTTAGACTTAGTTAATATTATGCCCTCAATTCATATCGACTGGTTTGAAGTGATGTAGTAAAGTAATATAACTCATTTTATTTCTTTAAGGAATGAGTGTTATAAAACGCGTTGTTTTACACAATTAGTAAATAATTATTATTTTTACTTACATCCTCTTTATCTATTTCAGGATTTGCATTTAGCCATTGTGCCACAGAATTAAAAATGACAATTTCTTGTGTAAAAAAAGAATCTCTGGATAGCAGATCTACTAACGATGACTTGGAAAGGGTAAGGAATCCATCGGATTTCAAGACATCCTCAGCGTTAGCGTCAGCAAATTGTAGGCATTGTTGGCGTAGTGATGGAATCTCGTATAAGCCGGCAATTTCGAAAATATCGCAAGCATTCTTACCGTTTAATATCGAAGCTAGATATTTACAAATGGCTTCTTGCAACAATTCGAAGCAGTACTGATGAGCTACGGCTAAAAGATCGATTATTTCATCTTGACTGAATAAAACCAAATCCAGACCACCACTGTAAGTATAGGTTAACAACCGATCGAAAGCTTGACTTTTAATACCATGTAACCTAATCTCACTACTTGATTGAGACTCTTTCATGCCGTTAAAGAATAAGGCTTTAAAATAATTGGACCGACATGCTAAGATGGCTTTATGACACGAAAATCGGTGCTCTTCAACGACGATAGTGATATCGGTAAATTCACCACTATCCATAAGATTTTTCAGATCGTCAGCTAGCGATCGAATATGGCAAATTTCTGATACCGATCCAGTAGATATTTCGCACATGTTTTCTTTCTTGTACTGCTGTACGTACGGCCACAGTCGATGTAGAGTAGTAGAGTGCAGTTTCAAAGATATCAAGTTAGTGTTAAGTTGGTGATTGCTCCGGCAAGGACACACTAGATGGAGTTTCCGATACGACAGGGAAAATGGATCACAATTTGCACATTACTACAGTAATTTTCTATCTATTCAAGAGAATAGCAAAATCTCTTACCCTACAAGACTTAATTGTTACGCCCTTGATTTGGAAAGTTCTTCAATAAACGAAAGTATTGATTTCTGCTAGCAATGATAAGCACACCGTAGTCTGTGAAATTTTGGATAAGAAAGTCGAAATGGATTGCAATATTCACACTATTACAGCGATTTTTCTATCTACTCAAGAGAATGGCATAATCACTTACCCTACAAGACTGAATTCTTGCGCTCTTGATTTGGAAAAGTTCTACACTGGCAATTATAGCAGAAAATAGTGTATTGATTTCTGCCAACAATGATAACCACACTATTCGTATGGTCTGTGAAATTGTGAGTAAGACAGTCGAAATGGATCGCAATTTGCACTCTACTACAGCGATTTTTCTATCTAGTCAAGAGAATAGCATAATCATTTACCCTACAAGACTGAATTCTTGCGCTCTTGATTTGGAAAAGTTCTACACTGGCAATTATAGCAGAAAATAGTGTGTTGATTTCTGCCAACAATAATAAACACACTACTCGTATGGTCTGTGAAATTTCGATACGACGAGGAAAATGCATCATAATTTGTACATTACTACAGTAGCTTTTTCCCTCTATTCAAGAGAACAACATAATTACTTACCCTACAAGATTTAATCGTTGCGTTCTTCACTGGCAATTCCAGCGGAAAATATGAATTTCTGCCCAGCTATGATAAACACTCACTGTGGTCTGAAATTTTCGATATGACAGGCAAAATACATCACAATTTGCACGTTACTATAGTAATTTTTCCATCTATTCAAGAGAAAAGCCCAATCCTTTACCCTACAAGACTTCTTTCTTGTGCTCTTGATGAGGAAAACTTCTTCACCGGTGATTATAAATGGAAGAAATGATAATTAAATTCAACATTTTGAGCAATGTTGTTATTGGGGCTAGGCAGCGATTTCTGAATGGATGATTGCAGCCACTGACAGCCACGACTGACTGACTGTCAGTGTTATACTGTTCTACTATACTGTGCTGTAGTGTGCAGCACGGTATCGGACAAAGGGCCAGAAAGACGCTCCGAGAAAGACTTGTTCAGTATGAGAAGACACCAATTCAAGATGTCGGAAGACGATCATGCCAACCAAGGATGGGATAGTATAGAAATATTAGCCGGAAATGACGTATAATGCACAAGAATTTAGAAATGGAGATTTTCTAGGGTAGAATGGCGGGAAAGTAAAAATATGAATTAAAAGCAATCTTCAATCGAGTATAATTTGCAATGGGAAGTTTTTCCTGACTGGGATAGTGTAGAAATGAATGAAAATGGCGAATAGTATTATTGAGGATAATTTGGAACGGTTGATTTTCTACGGTAGAATGGCGGAAAGCGTAAAATATGAATGAAAAGCAATCTTCAATCGAGTATAATTTGCAATGGGAAGTTTTTCCTGACTGGGATAATGTAAAAATGATGAACAATATAATTGAGGATAATTTGGAACGGTTGATTTCCTATGGTAGAAAATGGCGGAAAGCGTAAAATATGAATTAAAAGCTATAATTTGGAAAGGGAAATTTTTCCTGACTGGGATGGTATAGAAATGAATGAAAATGGCGAATAATATAATTGAGGATAATTTGGAACGGTTGATTTCCTATGATAGAATGGCGGAAAGCGTAAAATATGAATTAAAAGCAATATTCAATCGAGTATAATTTGGAATGGGAAATTTTTCCTGACTGGGATAGTGTAGAAATGAATGAAAATGACGAATAATATAATTGAGGATAATTTGGAACGGTTGATTTTCTACAGTAGAATGGCGAAAAGCGTATAATATGAATTAAAAGCAATCTTCAATCGAGTATAATTTGGAAAATGAAATTTTTCCTGACTGGGATAGTGTAGAAATGAATGAAAATGACGATAACTTGGAGATTTCCTGACTAGAGATAGTGTAAAAATAGCAACTGGAAATGACGAAGAATGAAATAGAATTACAAATTGAGACTTTTTCTGATTGGGATAGTGTAAAAATACGAACTGAAAATACCCATAAATCGCGTATAATTTGGAAATGGAGATTTTTCCTGACTGGACATTCCAATAGTGTAAAATGATGAACTAGAAATGACCAATAATCGGATATAACTTGAAATTAAAAGATTTTTCCAGTGTAGGATAGTTAAAATAAACAGGAATAATTTCCTAGAAATCACCAAGAATCGAGTATAACTTGAAAATGGAGATTTTTCTAGAGTACGATCGTGCCAAATTAAATAGAAACTGGAATTATCCAAGAATCGAATATAATTAATTTAGAAATGGAGACTTTTCCTGACTTGGATAGTGTAAAAATATGAAGGGAAAATTATCTTGAATCGAGTATCATTTGGAAATGGCGATTTTTCTTAGCTGGAATCGGTAAAAGTATGAACTGAAAAGGATGAAGAAGCGAGTATAATTCGAAAATGGCAATTTCTCAGAGTAGGATAGTATCGAAATAAATAGGAAGTGTAAATGACGAAGAAATCGGGTGTAGCATGGAAATTAACCATAAACGACGTATAATCCAATATCAATTTGGAAATAACGATTTTTCAGTTTCAGTGGGTATCAAATGGCCTCTGTATCACATATTTATGTTAACTGAAAACCAAGTATAACTTAGGAATGGATGATTTTTCAGTTTTAGTCGGCATCAATGGCTCTTTGTGTCATATTATGATTAAATGTAGCAACATATTGTGTCTAGTGTTCAATATTAGCTGGAAATGGCGTGCCAGAATAATCGAATAGAGCTTGCAAATAGATTATCCAGAGTGAGGTAGCATAAAAATATTGCTGGAAGCAACTTCAGTAATTGACTATAAAAAAAATGGCAATTTTCCAATTGCAGTGAGGTAATATGTCATATGTAATTTATTCATATAGATTGATTAAAAATGACGTATCAATTGTATGATAGAAGAGGGATTTGGAAATGACAATTTCCAGTTGGGGTAGGTATCAATGGCTCTCTGTAAGAATCGACTTCTATTAGTAGTTTCTACTAAATGAAAACGACATACTGTATCATGCAGTCAATCTTTGAAAATGTTGATTTTCTAGTTTCAGCGGGCATCAATGGCTCTCCGTGATATTGATAATATTAAAGCCTTTAAAAGTGCTTGAAACGATGAAGAAAATTGCCCTTTTAGGCCTTCTCACGAGCAAAGAGTGGTACTCGAAATACCCAAGTCCAAACTGATTTACTATAAAACCGTATTTTACCAGCTTGAATCATTTGAGCACATTTTATGAAGAGTTTTTCATTCATTGCATTCATTCAACTCGGTATCCATTTTGTTTTTTTAATATGGGAGGAGGAAGAGAACATTGAAAGCTAGGCACCAGCCAACGGTAGTTCTACAGATTACGGTACTCAATTTTCCCCCAAAGTCCTTTTACTTTCGTTATACGGTAGTTATTCTATAGCGTGCCACTTTAATATAGATCTAATCTTCCACGACACCATTAGTTTTATTCAATTTAACAAACACATGCAGTCCAAACAATATTTCATTCTCGAAATCTTTTTTATTCATCGTATACATTGTCGTTGAAGATTCATCAATTTCCTCTCGTTCGATGATCCAATGGAATATTGCTATATAAAGATTTCTTTCAATATTTTTTAATCATTCATTATTGAAAGCCTTAACTTTTATGCACGTGCAAAACTAAAATTCTCACTGAACTTGACTAGTAATAAAAGAATAAAGAAAAAATAGGGAAGGCAAATAGAGTGCATCACATTAGCAACAGGATATTCAGATGTATACTAACATAGTTCTACTTAACTCACTGTAAAAAGGAAACATCGGCCTTGTAGAGTATTGTCAGAGCTAGGATGTTCTGTACTACATATCGTAAGATAACTCTTCTTAAGTTGATCTCTGTAAAAGAAATGGAAATATCGTCGTAGTAGCACATTTTTCAGTAAGATAGAGTAAAATAATTCTAGAGATTACTACTGGAAAAAAAAATGTAAAACATCTGGTTTATTAATCCACTAAAATGTCGTTAAATGTTGATTTATAGTCTATTCGATAAGCTACGATAACGGCTATAAAAAATCATATCTCTCTATAAGCAGCCTCTATAGAATTAATAAAATTTCCAATTTTTAATACAAATTTTTAAACTCTTTGATCTCCACAGCCGCTAATAGAATGTAATAGGTTAGCGGAAGTCCATTCTGTTTTTAGTATTTAAGATGGCTTTATTGAACTCAACTTGATCACTAATTAATATAAAATAAATCATACATCAGTTTAGTATAATGAGATGGAGAAAAATGATACCATGAGTGAGCGATTGGAATAAAATTTCAAAGCCTCGCCTCAATCAATGTTATTCATTAACAAGATTTCTATAACTAATTCTACGATATTTTCTACCCAAGAATTATAAACAAAAGTTTAGATTCTTAGTGGAGGACACTAAATAAGACAGTAATTGTCTTTAATTACAAAAATAAATTCGACTAATTTTTATTTAGTGATCCATTACTCTATTAATTCCAAACTGTAACATTTACTTATTACGAAAGATTCGGAATAAAATTTGACTGAATAAACAATCATAAAGATACATGTAATAAAAGTCTTCAAATTCCTGCGTGAGGGTTAGACTTGAATATTTTATTAATATAGCTTCCATTCAGCTAGAATAGGAGAATAGTAAGAATTAGTAATCAAGACTGTACTAATTCTAAAATATTCGCTTGTTATTAAAGGCTCTAAATAGACTTTGATGGAATAATTAAATACAATTACACATAAGATCTATCATATATAGACACATTGATAAAGTATTCAAATTTTCTGTACATAGATTAGAGTTAAAAAAAGATTTTGTTAATGTGGATTTCATTTTAGCGAGAATGAGTGATCTGATTTAAAGTAAGCTTGAGTAATACAGGCATGGTGCTAGTGCGAAATATTTCAAGGCGATACTCATAATAATACTTATATAGCGACGGATGTATATAGCTCTATCGTTAAAACTAAAATCCACGCATTTCCATCTTCGTGTCTATAATGTATAAGCTGGAATGTGCCTTCCTTTTACCGAATAAATCTTGGTCATTATCTAATTAGATAGGTTAGCTTAAGCCCTAAATTTAAAATACAGATAATTCTGATATTTCATACTGTATAATTCTGCCTTTAAAGAAATTGTATCAGTCCACTGCAAGGGCGACTAATTATATAAAATTATACCATTGATTGATTAATCTTTTGCAAGCTTACTTTTAATGAATAGTGTTTATTAGCAGAAATATCCATATTAACAACAAAAAATACGGACCACAATTATACTAATACGAGACAATCATGTTTTTGAAAGTATTTATAATTATGATTCTTAGAATTACTGTAATTTAAAAATAGTTTACTGTTTTTCTTAATAGGAATGACGATTTGATTGGTTATACTCGTACAGACAGCTTAATTGTTATCGCATCGACATTGATTGACAGTTAATAAACGTAAATTGATTCTCAGACTGCACAAAATTAAATTAATTTTTCTTGGCAATAAATGCAAGGGTGACGATAACCAAACAGGCCTGGCGTTAAAGCATCTACAATTTTGTCAATTTACCTGATCATTTTTTGATGGTTTAATTGTATTACAACGATGACATTCGTCACGTATTTAATTAAAAATCAGAAACTCAATAACAATTTTGAATTCGAATTTCCTTATTGGTGCTCATATGATTATTTTTGATTACCTTAAGATCATCATCGCAAGATAAATAAGTATAAATCTGTTATATTGTGCATCTAAGGGTAATTTTATAAAATTAGTGAAAGTTTCAACAAGGTTCACGCTAAAAGAAGGATAGCAAAAACCTGCATCATGTTAAATCAGTAGCATTTTTTCTCGGGTAACTCTTCCTGTGTCCAACAGAATTACAATTTATGGCACTTTACAATATAATCGATGGTGAACGATGTACTGTATATTTATTATAAATGTAATAAGACATACTAATCAGTGCTAGTAATAAAATAAAATAAATATGATTTTAGCCACTGTACAGTAAATAATTTGATTTTTACAAAGTACATATAGTATAATTTTTACAGTTACACAATAAAATGAAATGAATTACAGTAATATTCCTAATAAATGACTTCTATAATCCCTGATAATTTTGAGTTACGCGTATAAACTTAAAATACAAACGTCATTACTCTTGACTGCTTACGATTGCGGAGTAATAAAAACTTAGCAATTAAAAGTTTTTCACTAGGGTCAACTCTTAATACAAATCTTTAGCCCTCAGTACTAAGATACATATACATACAGAAGTGTAAAAACATGCTCTTTACAGTAAAACGGAATCAGTAAACTTTCTCTGGTCTGATCAACAAACGTATAACTGATGATAATACAAATTGGAAATATGTGAAAATGTTTGTATGATATTAATCTTTCGCTCATCTTAAATAATATGCGTAATCGTAAGTGCTTTAGGCATTGCATATCGTACTGTTACTTTTAAATTAATTATCAAACTTTCTCTCTTTGAAGAAGTCAATATTCAACAAACAACTTGGCAAGTAATCTTGCTGGACAGGTTTATCATAGTCAGGGTTATACTTATAACCTTTGCCGTAACCTAATTTTTGCATTAACGACGTGGGAGCATTACGTAAATGTAATGGTACCGACGGCAGCGGGCCTTTCCATTCGTTAATATTTTTCTTAACTCTATCATATGCCATATAACATTCCACAGATTTAGGTGCACGAGCCAAGTACACAACCGTTTGAGCTAGATTTACCTATCATTACGTTATCGTATTCAATCGAGAAAGTGCAATTATTATTTTTGTTTGCATACAAAGATCGACATTGTATATATATATAAGCATATAGAATACCTCACACTCCGGCATTCCAATAAATTGACAAGCGTGATAAGCTGCTACAGCAATGAAAAGAGCTTGATTATCAGCTAAACCTGCAAATCAGAGTTAAATGTGAGCATAACCCTATCTACAGTACTCTAATAATTTGATCAATGTAAAGTTTCTTATGGCAATAGAAAAATCTTCACGTACCAACATCTTCGCTTGCAAAACGTATCAATCTACGCGCAATATACGTAGGTTGTTCTCCTCCTTTTAGCATTCTGCACAACCAGTACATGGCAGCATTTTCGTCGCCACCACGCATTGATTTATGCAAAGCAGATATAATATTATAATGTTCTTCACCACTGCGATCGTATTGCAAATGAGATCGTTGTAAGCTTTCTAGTACGTCTTTCTCTGTAACTGCAATTATCGTTGGTAATCTTTCATCATCAACTACATTTCTGCAGCTATCAGACTTTTCACCATGATCATCAAGAATTTTTCCTTCATCGCCAGTATCAATCCCGCTGTCTTTCGTTCCTTCATCTGTAACACAAGAATCCGATTTGCTATTCTTTAGAATAAGTTCCAATCCCTCCTGAATACTTGATAGACGAGTGTTTAGTTCTTTTACAAGTGATGAATTTTTAATTTCTTCTCCATTCGATTGAAGGTCGTCTTTTTTAGTTTCATCTACTTTGATCGGCATCACCTCATCCACCTGACTAGGTTGGGTAATATCTCTATTATTATAAATGATAATCTTCGATCTAATAGCCATTTCTAGACCATTTAAAGCTTTCCTAGCATCACCATCGCAAAAATTTCCCAAAGCTTTAAGAGCTTGATCATCCGCTTTAATTTTGTACTTATTACTACAGTAAAAAGAATTTTATTTCAAAGGATGATGGTTAGTAAATTGCTACAAATAGGATATGTTGTAATTGTACTGTACAACTATCAATTTCAGTCATTATTACTAATCAATTATACAGTAAAAGCGATATGTAACTCATTATCTACACCCATTGCCACAGTAGTTCATCAGTTATCTAAGATTGTGCAGTATTACAGCGTAAAATCTACACAAAGTTACTAGATTATCTTTTAATAAATCTTAGCACTAATTAATCTTATTTAACACAAACCTACCCAGTTGTAAAATCATCTAGGTCTAGATAGTCTTCAATGTTGTTTAAAGCACTTTTAAGTATAGTAACAACATTAGCTGAGCTCAGTTTTTGTAATGTAATTACATGACATCTGCTTAAGAGAGCATTATTCAAGCTAAATGAAGGATTTTCCGTAGTAGCGCCAATCAATACAATGGTGCCATTTTCAACATACGGCAGAAAAACGTCCTAACAAGTATACCAATGAACAATCCATTTCATACAGACATATTAATATCAGGCTAGTCGGTAAACAAGCTAACATTCGAAGCTTTGACTATCATGCCATCTAGCGTTGATAAATTACGCGATAGAAGAACAATTTTTTAACCTGTTGGGCCTTGTTGAATCGATGAATTTCGTCCATAAATAATATCGTTTGACGATTAAACATTGTTCTATCTTTTTGAGCTATGTCGATCACTTCACGCACTTTCTGTGTCCCACTAGAAGTGGCAGATAGTTGAATAAATCGCATGTTGGCTTTACTTTTGCCACTTTTAGCAATAATATTCGCTAAGGTTGTCTTTATAGCAGGCAAAGCAAATTAGAAAGATGATTAAGAAGAAAATGATGAACGTTAGTACGAGTGGAAAAAAATTATCGCGGGAAAATTATTTACCATCCACCTTGTATACTGTCAATATTATGAAGGATTATCGGCTAAGTAGCATTTATTGACACAATAGATGATATTGCAACATACAGTAGATTAAGATTGCATCCATCTAAATTGAGTTTTTACCTTGCCACATCCCGGAGGACCCCAAAATATCATGGAATGGATATCTCCTGATTCGATGAGAGATCGTAGACTAGTTTTACCACCTAGTACGTCATCTTGACCGATGTAATCAGTAAGAACGTTTGGCCTGATTTTATCAGCCAGAGGTGTACTGGATTTGGCTTTACTTTTACTTGCATTGGGGGGTGGCTGATTGCGATTATTCAATTTAGAATTGGTTATAAATACATCATCGGCTAATTCTTGGCTCGATTCCAGTTGCCATTTTTGCATTTCCTTCTTGACATTGTTAGCGGTACTTTGTGAACTACCCGTATATGCAAATTCATTTGGATCTTGCTGAAAAAAAGATAATTTAGTTTGCCTGGTAGCGTTGTTGGTCAAAACTTCGTGATGACTATGCTTGGTTTTTTTGACGCTACTACCTATACTACTCATATTAATATTTCTTTTCTTGATCGTTTTCGATTTCAAAGTACTCTGACTGGATCGAGCACTTTGCGAAGCGGGAAAGGAATCAGTCAAGCTACTAAAGCTAGCGTTGCTGTTGATGCTATTATTCACATTGTCAGGCGTTGATGGTGGCAGATTGTTGAGTTTTTGCGATTCGAAACACCAATTTGCATGTTGGTCAATGGTATCTCGATCGAAATACTTGTCGCAAAAGATACATTTGCAAGGGGATGATTCTCCAGTTTTACTTGATGATTGCATTTTCCCAATTAATTGGAGCGATTGAAAGTTAACCTCTAGCACGAGAGGACCAGGTCAAAGTAATTTTTGCATAGTGCTGTAATGTTTAATATGGATAATTATTGATTACTTTGTAAACTTCAATCAAAAGCGCCCTGCATTACCGACCAGCTCGCGATCCGACCTCTACGACATGCAGCTATATTGCCAAAGGTGAATCTTATAGTAAATCCTTTCCTTGAACTACGATATTGGCCGATCTCCGTCTGGACTGTATACTGTACAATTAATCAAAGATGATGTCATACCACAGCTTTAAATCTACGATCTGCAAGCTCACTTTCGTACTATATGAGTGCACAAACAGTACTGCACAGCATATCCAATACTAGCGTACTCTACTCTACACAAGGAAGTGACCAGTTACAAAATTTGAGGTAGTATGGAGGAAAAATGGAATGCACTTTCTCTATTCGTCTATATGGTTAAGGTTAAATGAAGGGAGATTACTGCTGAAAAATGTCTTATTTCATCCTATCCTAGACATTTTTTCAATGCTGATATACTGTACTTTAGTCCTTGTTGTGTAGGAGGTTATAATTAGGATGGATTCTTTCATAAGTATTGTAATGTTGACAAGAAGGTATCAAAAATACTTGGTGTTTCTAGCGATCCATTGATTTTTGCGAAATGGAGAGAATCACTAGCTGAGGGGCCTTGATTCATAACATAACAGGCCCATCGCATACTAGCATTGGGCGTAAAATATGCACCAGTAGCAGTATCATGGGCTATTATTAATTGTAAAAAGGATTCTGTTTGTTATGCTTTACCTTGTGGCCTCGTTCACGTCGATATGAACAAGTTCATTTTGCAGTTTACTGGAGATGAAGGACGATGCATGCTCATATCATTATTTTTATTGTAGCTAAAATTTTTTCTTTCTTTAACGTGGACTTCAATCGATCTTATTCAGATAGGAGGTAATGCTACATTTTACTGCTGGTTTGGTCAAGTTATTTGAGTCGTCTATTAAAGACAAGATACTGGCTTGTAGGTGGGATTTATAGGCACTGTCCTTGAATTGATGAGAATGCAGATCTAGTCGACTTTTGTTCAATTCACAGTTGAAACATGGATCTTATCGAATTATTGGAGTAAATTGAAATTTGGGATTTATTGTCTAATCAGTTTATTAATACGGTAGGAATGCGACATAATCAGATTACCCTACCATAACCGTATGCCAGATACAAAATGATATTATTGTATTTTGCAGTGACGATGATATTATCACTGAGCCCTAGTCTAGACAGGGATAAAGGTGTTTAGGCTATATTAGATTAAGTATTTTTAATACTTTAAGAATTGTCTTCATTGCAGCAGTCTTATTATTTTTTATTCTCGTATTTGGTAAGATATAACAAAGGACCTAGGCCTACATTTAAGTCAGATCGATAACTTTTATATGGGCAAACGCAGCCAAGAAAGAATGGCAGATTCACGATGGATCCAATACCTTAATCAACCTTCAATACCTAGTACTGTACTGCTACAGCATTCAGAGATCATATAATATTGCATACCGTGGTTAATTAAATAAGAAAAATATTCACTTTAAATTATTTTACATTGATTGATTGATGATGTATAACTATGACTGAATTTATTGAACAACCATTCCGATGCAATTTAGTAGCCCTATAGTCCTACAGTATATTTATCTTCTCACTTTTATTGTCATATGAAGAATAACGAGCAAGTACAATCAGAAAAGTAAGAAAGACTTTATTTTTCTTACCTCCATAAATCTAACACTAGAAATTACGCTGGAGGGCATGAAATTTTGTCATTTACAATTCGGTAAATGACAAAATTGACGATGTAAGCGCATAAAATGTCGACTCGTATTGTAGATAGGATTTCTACTCATACATTTATGTATTCCTAATTTGAAGCAGCAAATTGGGCCTTTAAAGTGATCACGTAGTTAGCATGGATGAAAATTAGGATGCTTTTTTCTGCGTATCGCACTTTTTTCATTCCAAATTATATTATTCCATGTAGCTATCTCGATCTCAAGAGATGTCTTCAATAGTATTATGATTCATAAAAATATTAACAATTATTCTGTAACCATTATAAATTCAATATTGAATCAATTATTTTTACTTTACCGTAAATGACAAGTTTATTAAAATTAAATTGTGATCGATCTCATCTTATCACGTGCAATTAAAGTTAACAAGAGCCGCCTGAGGATTTACCGTCTCTGATGCATGACTTTAGTGCCCCGCTATTTACATTTTACTATTTACAATTAAAAGCACTGTAAACAATTTAAATCCACCTGCATTGCATTGCAATCTACAAGAACCAAATACAACATGACACACTACTCCACTCGTTACATTATATTCATAAATAGACCTCCACTAGCATAACCTTGACATTATCAATAATAAATTATTGGCAGTTGTAGTAATGTTGTATTTATGAACAAATATTCAAACTAGGAAAGTAAAGTATGGATTTACGTTGTCGCGATTGTAGACATGAAATGACTATAATATCGTAATACATATATAATTGTAAGTACATAACAGCTTGTATAGCAAATAAATTTTTAATTGAAAAATTCATTAATTAATTATTCCATTGAAAGAGTATTTTGAGATCAGTTTTAGTTTTATAAATACGCATATAAGAGCACGCTGCAGGTGAGCCTTAAGTCACGCTGCGTTACGTCTGGCCTTATAAATCATAACATTTAATTAATTATAATTATTATTCAATTGTATTATCAATAATCCATTGATATGCTTTAGACAGAATGGGATATTTGCAGCTATCTTAGTTAGCTTAAACATGGAGTACTAAATTTTCATAGTGTAAGAATAATAATAGTAATAATAGTGTCGTATATCTGATTCTCAGACTTGGTTAATACTAGTAGTCAAAAGGATTATTTTTTTACGAAAATCTGGAATTAGCCACACGAAATTATCATGGCTGAAGCCTCAACGAAAGTATTTGCAACGAAATGGAATCAAAGTGAATATACCTTAGACCAATATCTAACTCTTTCCCCACGACAAATACACAACAAATAGTTAACTGTACAAACTATACATACAAAAAAAAATTGTAACTCTTCGATGAACGAGCTCTTTTGGACATGAACTGATATTGAAGAATCATTTAAACTTAGACTGGGCCATCAGGCTCAATCAGAATTAGCAAGAGTTATGATTTTAATTTATTGTGTCAATATTCGAATGACCTAAACACTAGACATAATTTCTACAGTATACAGTATCTAGAATGTTGACTTGCAACGCAACCATTAGTATATCGACGCCGTAAAATTAAAAGCATGACTGCAGCTAATTTTAAAATGTCTTCTGTGCCTTGCACAATCCAATATAATACCTCTTCAACTATTTTATTTGCCGTAGTGATATCAAATTTAGAATATCCATGCAGTAAATTAAAAGCATGATTACAACTAATTTTGAAAAGTCCACTATACCATTCACAGTGGCAACGTAAGGTGTTTGCATGCAATATTCGCTAATCACAGATAATACCATGTACTCTGTCATGATAACATAGATAAGTACCCCTCAATTCCGATCATAGCGTACATAATATCAAATTTATTTTCAATAGCTCAAATGAGTCGGTAATTATAAATATCGACTAACGTATAGATAGCGTATACCGCTTTGGACTCTTCCATCGTATCTTATTAAAAGTGATTGATGTATGCTTTTTAGTGCTCAACTATAGTACACAGTTCTACATTCATTACTAATTGTTCGCGATATAGGTAAATTAATACTTACAGAAAACGTAATAGCGATAATTGCAGATCTATTACATACAGTATGTGGTATGATAGGTGATCGGACTTATATACGAAGCCAGTATAATACTACCGCCTGTACTAACAACTTACACAGTCTGAAAATATTTGTACAATGCCTGCATGTACATACGAGTATATTCGTATATATTATATCTTACGTGTTAATATGATCCTAAAGCAGGAAATAATTTAGCTTGAATCATACATTGTCCACATCAGCACTAGCATGTATTTTAGGAGGAGTGTTGTAACTTTGTTCATTATATGTAAATAATAACAACAATATTTAGCATATGTTACGACACTAATGATTACGTCTTACGTAGATATTTACGATCAAAAATAATGAAATGCTATTGTCATAATTTAGCAAAATACATCACAGTATCATATTGTGCCTAACATTACAATTAGTACGTATGGTATTATATTAAGCTGCGATGTTGCCTGTAAGTATTTTTTGCAAAGATAATCTTACGCTTAAAAAATTTCATTGCCAATATTCAAAATAGGCAACGTAGATTATCATTATATTATGGATGGTATTAGCAGTTCGAGATAACTAAAATATCGAGAACATAAGAAAAATTGAACTGTAACTTACAATACTATCCAATCTCTTTGCTTAGTTATCATTAGATTCACATAAATGTACTAGTGTACGATTTATCCTACGCTATGTATATAAAACAAGTGTAAATATTGTATTGATCTTATATAGTTCATAGTTATGATTACAAAAGCATTGACTTCCACACAAGACATTCAGTAAAACAATGGATCAGGTCTCGTCTGTAGCATCTACGATAAAAAATGGATTCTAGTAGATTCTAATAGATTATCAATCAGGATGAAAGGTTTCTTCAGATTTTAATTTTTAGTAAACGTGTTCTGTTTGGCAAGCAACTGCTATTGACGACAATAGTAACGCAATATTATAATGTTATTAGTTACGTCACATTATTTTTTTAGACGCAATCCATATTACTAGAATACATTATAGTAACTATGACATGAAGAAAATGTCATCAATAAACTGTCGACTTGTCGTAATTTTCGTACCAGATGCTCATATATTATAAGTTTAGTACTAAGGAAATTGAAGCATGATAACAGATATGAGTTACAGATATATCTAAATTGTATAAAAAATCTTAAACAATGTACTAAGTATATTGTAATATCTTTAACGATCTTGATAATAGTTATATAATAGAACTTTCATAATAATTAAAAAGCATCACTCATGGCGGATATAGAATGCTAGAAAATCAAGCCAACGAAACTATTCATTACTCTTCCGGTCATATCATTCTATCGTAATGGTAAATTTTCGAATGTTATACAAAAATTTATCCATTGGATAGATTGAACGTGAGAAGCAGACAACTGTACGGAATGTTTGATTCACAAAAAGCGCATATGATAAAATTGTTGCATTTTCCATTTCATTAATCTAATTTCTCACACTTTTATAACTTTAAAAATTAATTCAATCCAATGAGAGAGTAACTATTGTATACTGTTTCGATTTTCGGAATATAGTACGTGATTTCAACATTTAAATTCTAATATAATTTCACGATATCTAAATCGAATCGTGGTTGCAAAAATAAAGAACATTCCCGACAGTAATAACCTTAAGAGTCGGAAATAAAATACGAACACATGTTACACAATTATATTGCCAATTCTGGTATTGATAGAGTAACTTGATAAGATTATTATATCGAAATTGGATCTAAAAATCGTTAACCATAATATTTTCGCCTCCTACAATGATATGCTTTGATTCAAATTGACAGCATCAACAATTTGTGCACTTTTTTTTAGCCATTATTGATGTTATGAAACAGATAAACAGCCTTTAGTACACGATGTATTTAAACTGATAACATTTAATAAAATGATATTAAATTTGTTGATTTTTGACTACACTAAACAGTCTGGGTATTTCAAGCCACATAAGGATAATATCAAACAAGGTGACATAACTCCAATCGATAGTTAGCTACTATTGGCTAATGTAATAATAAACTTTTAAACCTTTTTTTATGTATTTACAAGATACATCATGGATTCTAGACGATATAATAATAATATTTTCATGGCCTACAAGACAATGTCGCTTCAGTGTCTATGTATGATTATCATCGTTAGTTTGATAATTGTAGCTAGAAATGTGTGTCAATTTTATACTTAAATAACAATAACATTCCAAATTGAATGATAATAAAGCCAAACAGTCAAATTATAAACACTTTCTATAACTTCAAAACTTGTCAACTTGATCATTCAACTTCAACATTGTAACAAAGATCTATTTTAGTGGTCAGTTGATGTTAATTATTTCAATTTTAAAAGCAATCGTTGTATGTTAACTACTGTCTGTATGTAGTAGACTTTGTAATAATAAGCATCATCAAAATGTTATTGTGGCCGAATTTGATCTCTTACTAATCGGTCTTCTAAAAATATTTGGAGAAGAGTTTCCTCCCCTTCTCTAGTTTGATTTCTGTTATTATCCATATCCAAGTCGGTTGAAAACATTGATAGATGCTGTATGAATTATCTTTGATAATGTATTTAGGTATAAAAATGGAGATCTTGATTTTATTACAAAACCATAATTAAAGATAAATCGTTATATTATCATTATCATGGTTACTTATCTTATCTGATAAATCTATAATGACGATGATTACTAGAACTAACTTTTGAATAGGTAAATAATAACACAAGTAGGTAATCAAAACAATTAAAAAAATGGATAAAAAAATGAATTTGTATTTCCAAGTAATAATGTTTCTTCCGAAGAGAACTAGACCACTTTGCAAGTAGGTGTAATGAATATCATCTTTTTTTGTCTTATAATAGGAAGTTGAAAATATCAAAGGTCAAATTTATGGTAGTTTATCGTTCTATAATTAGTAGTAATTGTATTAATATTCTATAGTTAGGGATGTGAATCAGCATCTGTAATTGGTCTTATTATAATCTGTCTATTCTATAATCTATAATATACTGTAATAATGTTTCTATGACTACTTGTATTAAATTAAAAGAAGTGATAGGAAAGCCTCTAGCTGATATTTAGGAGCATTAATAAACAATCTTAAAATTGTTTATGCCTACAAATTTTCTTTGGGACTAATAATCGATTCCAGATGAATACGATAAATTGAAGCCTAGACAGACATAGACACAAATAAAAATCTCTAGTACAATTATCTTTATTTAATCGTAACTCATCCAAATAAAAATAACATGGACTACCTAGTTATAAATTATGTCCGATTATAATTGAACATCATGTAATTGACGGCTCCTGGAGATGTATTAGTTTTGCTAGCTACCGCATAGAATGAATTTTCGATCGTTGCTCTCGTAAGTTCTCACCAGGGGTACCTGAGAGTATAGCTATGCCTAACGGTAAAAGCTATTAGCATCGGTAAATAATAAATAGCCCCTATAATTACATACCATGAGGGAGGGTCTCTATCAACAAAAGAAAAAATAGTTCAATAGACAACTATTGTTACTTGCCAGCTGCTTTGTATTTCAACATTAATACCACCCTTTTAGTGTCAGTAATGCTATTCCCAAATTTATTGCTTATAACCTGCTCAATTGACCAAAAGAAAAATAACAGACGTTTGGACATGGTGAGAAAAGTAAAAGCGATGTTTTTAGGGGGAAAAATGACAACTATTGTAATTCCTAGGGTATAACTGTAGCTGAATTGATGTTTCTTCAATCATTACAACATTTCCAATTTTGGGCGAAAAGCGCTACATGTCTGCTTCCATTACAACATTAAAATCAAATTATTGAAAAACGTAGTTTGATCACTATCAACCGACAATGAGTACTCCATTACAAGAAGCCAACTCTACCAATGTAACCAAAATCGATGTACCTCAAGTTGCCGCTTTTGCCTGTATCGGTACTATTACTGTTGCAACTAATTCATTCTTATTAATTGTGCTTGTTAGTAAACGGCATTTAAGAACTGCATCTAATACTTTATTGGTTAGTACATTAATTGTTGGCATCCTTTTTGCCTTGTTATATTTAATACCGCGATGGGCTATCCCTTACACCGGCCAGTTACCTATTTTATGCGCGCTTTTGCCATCAATTGGCCAAGCATTCTTTATTAATATTAATCTTCATGTTTGTAGTATTAGCTTAGAACGATATATATGTATCGCTAATCCATTTTTATATGATCGAATTGGCAAAAGGAGAAATTTTATAATCTTAATAATCTTACTTTGGGTTACTTCAACTATTTCTCAATTTATACCGTTATTCACTTTTAAGCCTATTAAATCAACATGTTACTACTGGGCCGACGACTTGGTTGCTCAAAGATATTTCCTTATTGCTACATTTGTCATTTTATTCTTCGTACCACTGACAATTATTGTAGTATCGTATTGCCGCATTTACGTTATCGTTAACCTTCATGTTGCACAATTCCAACAAATAGTTAAGCAACTAAATAGTAATAAAGAGAAATTAACAAAAGATAGGAAAGCAATCAAACAAATCGTAGCCATGATTTCTGTATTTATCATCTCATTTCTACCTTTCGTAATTGAATTTTTGATCTGGCAAGATAAAGAATTTGAAGGGTCTGAAGCTGACATTATTACTTTACGAGTAACACAATTTTTGGCTTTTAGTTATCCTGCAATTAGTCCCCTTTTATGTTGTTGGTTTAAAGCTAACCTACGTAGAGAAGTTAAACGGTCGTTACATTTGTGTTGGCAACGGAATGATAGTACTAGTACAACGACTGCTAACATGATTAATTACGAAAGCCGATACAGAACTATTGATTTTAGTACTCGTCCTTCAATGGCCTTACTTCAAGAAGAAGCTAAAAATGGTAAAAAATCGTTACCAGACTATAGCGAAGCCAATGAAACCCATAGTCCTTCAGAGAAAAGTGAAGGAAACGATGATAGTTCAAGGAATCAAGATGTCAAAGTCATAAACAATTCCACTATAGTTTAGACAGCATTCCGATATTGTAATACCTTAGCATTACCCCATATTGCTTTCATAAACCTTGGCACCAATGATGGTTATAGATATTGTATCAAAATTTATTCTATTCGCTTTCAGAGAAATTAAAGCTAGTCAAGATCATATAATTCTTGCTAGATAGAAAGCGCCTTATACGATGTTATCAGTCTGATAGCCTCTGTAAGTTATACTCGTATTATCGTGTTCTTATATGATATGGTTGATATAATCTAATTGACTGTAGATAGCTAAATGTTGGAGTTGATAATTTATAATCTATTTAAAATTTTTTGTCCGAGGTTAAATCGTGACAACTATTTTATTTTATGCTTATATTTTCCGCCAGTAGAAATTAAAAATTGTATTATGTTAATAATTTCAACATAGCATGATCAGTTTAGGATTTATCTAATTTGAGTTTTAACGTTATGTCGAAATTGTAACGTATCAAAATCAAATTAGACTTATTCTATCAATTTCATATTACTGTTGAATATTGACACACTACAGGTCTTTATTCAAAATATAAGTATTGCTAGGATGCAATTTAATTCTGATTATCTGGCATCATAATTACATAAAATTGACCCTTCGGTAACTATTGCATCACTCAGTAGGAGACTTTTAAGAAAATGTAAATAATGAATCGTATGAGCTCCCTATTAAATTAATAAATTTTTAAAGATATTTTTTTACATTAAATTTTCTTAATCAGACAAACATCAGCTTTATCATTTCTACTTGAAAGTTTTAAAGCGTGTCTTGATTGAAACCTACAATTATCACGATCTTATGCTGTAAAAGTATTTCTATTGATAATTTTAGTCAAAATGATATTGTAGTCAATCCTGATTATTGTCTTGCTATTTCTTGTATCGTTTAAACGGTATATTGGTCATATAGCTAGCTAAATTATTGTATTATAAATGATATATATATGTATACTGTATAATATTAATAATATAATCCTTCAAGACAATGTAACTGTCTACATAAAATGTGAAACATTTCCGTGAGTCTATAATAAAAAATTTCATATTCATTTCTTTTATACTTGACCATATAACTATCATTAACTGGTTATCTTATAATTTAATGGGGCGCTAAATGGAAATTTTTTATCTACAGCAGCTTGAACATGAAACGGTTGCATGCCGTAGTTTTTGCTATTAATCAAATATTCTAGTCTTATCAGACAAAGTATGAGAGTATAATAGGGTAGATAGGCAGTTTATCTTTTGGTGTTACTGTTTATATATGTATTGTACGCTGGTAAAGAAGGCTAACAATGTTATAATTGTTATTTCAGTTCTACACTATTTCAATGTCGTAAAGTACCTTGATCAATAATTTATTCCTGGGAATATAATACCGGATGCAGCCTTCTATCCCTCGTACTATATTATCTTGACACTTATAAATTATTTGAAATTGTATATATCAGTCGATGCTATTTTAGAAGCATTCATAAAAAACCTCAACGCTAAGTGAACTCATTATAATATATGATCAATTCTTAATTATGAGTTATTAATAAATTTTTATTTACGACTAATTATACTTTACTATACCTATTAAAATTAAAACGTTGATCCTACTTAAAACCTTTCATGGATACACGTTATATTAATTACCCTTGAGAAATTCTATTGTTCCACATTTGGCATAATTGCCCTTTCTGATGATATGGCATACAACCTTCTTATTTCTCTTACCAAAAGAATGATACTATCCAATTTAATTAATCGTTCTCTTGGAACTGTCATTATAAGTATTTATATCATCAGTTAGATCGATTGACAAATTATGGTTATTATCGATCATGATCATTCCCACAACACTATATACATAATAGCCGATGGGGTTAACCACCTTTTTTTTACGATGTGCTAGTATCACTGGTTACACAGTAAAGTAGGCACAATTACGGTAACACAGTAATTACCACTGGCAAGCTAATTTCATGCTTTTTACGACCTATTTTTAGTTCTATTCTTATACTGAACGTCTGCTCCTGCCTATGATATCCTAAAATAAATAATACATTATTTCTAATTATAGTAATATTTAACTTACTTCAATTTCGATTACGGAATGTGGTAGAGTACAGTGGTATATCACAGTAACTAGTTGTGAAGTGCCATTGTATAGTTCGGCTCTGTACCAATTTATGGTGGATCTTTTAAACAGTTTTTTAGAGGGCACGTTCCAGGTTCACTTATTTAAATCTTGAACAATCTAGTTATTAGACTACAAGTTGACCCTTTTACGCTGTAACATACTGTTACTGAACGTACACTTGCGAAGTAGAGGTTTCTATTATATTAAAAAAACAATAACATCTTCTGGGAATTATTTAGTCTTATCAGATATTCTAAAGATATGGCATACAACATTTTCGTGTATTATGATTTCTGTTTGAGAAGTTTTACAGTTAGCGTACAATTTCTAATTAATCAGTAATACTGCCAACAGTCTTAACTATCTAATTCCCGGCTGCATAGACTCTAAGCTTCGGTAGGATACTTGTTGAAATTAGCTTGTTTTTATGAATATACTCGTATAGTGTTGCAAACTAACTGCGAGTCTACGACGATTTTTATGTAGGTATTCGTATAGTGTATAATTATATAGTTAAAGACCTCTAAGTATCAGCCTGTATCCGTATTTAGGAAAGAAAATTCATAATCTGGTTATACAAAATTATAATATAGATATTTACGGTAGTCTTTATTGTTTTTGAAGAATTATTTGATTAAGTTACATTATGTCACATATTAATTTCGTCAACTATCAGGATTTGTGGCCAAAAATTGAAATTCTGATTGAAAATTAACATTTAGAATATTTTTTTTACAGTAAATATTTCAAATGTCAGTACATTTTATTTTCTATTACATGTTAAGGTAATATCGGGTCATCTAAAGTAACGTAGTGAATCAAAATTAAATTGTTTTATAATATCTTCTCGGTTAAATCTGAGTATATTACAAAATGAGGATTTTTAAGGTGTTTTTTTTTTAACTTGCTATTCTTTGTATATCTTCAATGCACTGATTAGGAATAAAATAAAGAGGCTGAATAGATGAAATGTATTTCATATTGATGAGCAATTACTGTAAATGTACGCATTGTGGATAGTTGCCATAAGTCTGTCTAGATTTGATGATAAACTGTAATTAATAATTAGAAAGTCGTTTCACTTGAGAAGGCACGTCTAGCAGTCGGACGGTTTCCTTCAAAATACAAAAACCTCGCAAGTCTGGTTTCAAACTTAATTATTATCTTAAATGGCAGTATTAAGGCATTGTATAATCAGAACATGATAGTATACTTAAAATTTAAATTGATAAAGGAGCACATGGTAATATCATAAAATTGATACTGGCTATTCGTATAAGTGTGCATTCTGAATTCACCACAAGTAATTATTTCCTTACAAAATTACTGTATCATCTCATAAAAGTTTTCACCGAACTATTCGTGTATATGAAATTAAGAATGTATTGGTACGATTTAAAGTGATTATCTATATTAATTTGCTATTATCGTATAGTCATAGTAACGTTTTCTATTTTAAACATCCGTCAAAGTCTGACCTTTTTGAAAGTGAAAATAACAGATATCATGGAGAATATTAAAAATTTAATTCATTTGTACAGCTATTTCATCATTTGCCTGCAACGCATACAGTATTTGCAGTACGGTATTGCATCTAATTCAAAATTAATTACTGCTTTGTTCCTTCATATCCTTTATTTTAATACCTAATTAATTACATTCTCGCTACGGTATGCAAAAGGTATCCTAAAAATTAAAAATCAGAAGGAAGCGTCCGAGGTACCGAGGATCAATAATACTTATAGCAGTACTTGTATAAGGCATGAGCGTACTTTACGTTACTATACTGACGATACCTATGACAATGTAACGTGAACTACAAGGCCACTACTTAATTAATTATACAGAATGTAATATATACTGTCTAGTATAAATTGGTCAGGGCATGAACTACTTGGGAAATATTATTTCTTTAGATTGGATAAGAAGGAAGTTGCAAACACAGGCCAGGGATAGCTATAAAGCTAAAAAGAAACCGAGAGTGACCAGAAATGATCGTTTAGTACCGTGTAGGCAAAATGTAGAGGATAACCATTTTGTGACACTGTTAGCCATTTCAATCGCAAATATACTACGTATGCTGTACTACTATCTTCACCCAAGAGCTGCCAGGTTGAATTTGTGCACAACCTCTCCCCAAAATGCACGTCATTATTATACTAATGGATTTAATGCCCATTTTTTGGGGGGGGGGTACTGGATGTCCATATCATGTTTCTCCATTTCTCTTAATTTTAAAATAAATAAAATAAAATGAAATTAATTAAATTAATTAATTATTAATTAATTAACAACTACAGTATATCCAGGGTACATCTGTACTGTACTCATGATGTGTGGATGTGTGTGACACAGTCGACGGTAAGGACTTCTGAAGTCCATACTGTACTGCTATTTCTTCATAAAAAGTCCGTTATCGTATGACGCGAGATGCAGTACAGTTCTCTGATATTCTACTACTTTACTACAGTATACAATCTCGTACAGTACAGTATATACTACTGTAATCTCGACAGTATACTGTAGTAAAATGGACCAACACTGCGCATGCTCATAGCCAAAGTCAGTCGTGGAACTGTATGAGTCATTCTATTTGTTACATCAGTGATTCAACGGCAAAATCGCTAGCAAAAATAAATTTAATCTCTTTCCTCAATTTGATCAAAGTAAACGATTAACAGTGATCATTCATTGGTTTCTTTGGATTATTAATAATCTGTATACGTTAATCCGTAGTTGGTCGATTCCATTCTAAGCTCAGGCATGGTTTGGTGTTAACGTGATTTCATCTGTTTCATAGAATCCATGGTGCTGATGATTTTACAGCAATCTCAAGACGTCCAAGATAATTCGTACATAGTAGGTCAAGGATAAATTAGAGAGAAGATCAGCAGATTGGTGGTGATTGTGTATGCAGTAGTGTTGACGAAATTGATTGAAGGGAGTTTATCTTGTATCGCTCCTGCATGTAGTAATAGCATAATTTATCATAGTTATACCAACAATACCACACTATATCTTTTATAAAATAGACGTGTTGAACTAGAGAGGCTCTTTCAGAGATTAGGTATCGTACTGTAAAAGGGTACATGGACTGATCCTTCTAATATTATTATATGGTGCATACTTGAATCAACTTAACCGCAGCAATAATCATTAAAGCAAAGCGATTATCAAATTGAAATTTTCATCAGTAATTTGTCGATCGAATATTCAATATCATTAAAATGGTTGCCAGCAACAGTTTTCGCTCTTACGTTTGGGATCCATGGTTGATCATTGCCCAGATACTTTGTTTGATTTCAACATTTTATATTTTCTTGGGGTTATGGATGACGCTAATGAACTTGATACTTGGACATCCGCGTACTCTAGATGAATTTTTCGTATATCAGGTAAAGTACAACCCACATTGTATGTACTGTATATACGTATGGTTTAGTACTTCGCAATGTAATGCCTAATTGGTATAGTGGGATATTCTGTACGAATTCTTCCCACCATATGTAACTATATTTACTATATTACAATAATAAAAGTCATCGAGGTAGGGACCTTTTTCCTTTTCCCCTATCATTACGGTAATATACAGTAATATTGCAAAGTTTAATGGCATATAACTCTGTGTAGAGTGTGTAATGTATCCGTTATACATTTAATTTCGGACATTCAAAAATAATTTATCAAATATCACTATTGTGGATTACGCCACAATATAACTGGTTATGCTATATCAGAAAGATTGCATCGATTTTACTTCATTTTTTGGCAGCTAGTACTATATATATATACAATACGATTCTAAAAATCGTATACGAGCATAGCGATAAATCACTGCTGTGATGGAGTACTTTCGTACACTGTTAAAGACCATGATATTTCTGATTAACTTCATTAAATAAATGACTTTCCTGTAAGTACAGGATCTACAGTATCTCTCTCTCCCATAAGTGTATAGGGTCAGTCAATTAATTATCGCTGTTGGGTTTTATCCGTGTTCATGACGATGAGTACATATATACACGCATACTAAGAAGTTATATTTTTAAGTAACCATATATTTCAAGTCTAAATTTTAATCAATATCATATACAAATGTAAGTTTGGGTTTATTATCTGTAGCCTTCTGTCTGTATATTGTTGTTTATAGTAATTGATCATGATATCCTATAGCGAATTCTTTTTCACATGGAATACCTTTGTATTATCAACTTAAAATGTAGGAAATTGTATTTTCATCTGGTAAAGGACGCATGATTATGATTGCATTTCTTATTAATTCTCTAACTTGGTAAGTGTATGAATCTGTGATTTGTGTAGCGTATCGAGGGCTTAAGATACCAATATTTTCGATTTTTATTTATAGTTTCTGCATCAGGGTAATACGTATACTAAAACCATATTAAAACGTATTATCAATAAGATTAGATAAAGCGATACTAATCATGATGATGTTATTATACTTTTAATCTTAGTGCTGCTGGCTTATGGGTTGTTGTTAGGAGAGCAAAACAGGTAAAATGATTTCCATATCATCAATCGTAACGAAATCGGTGTTCTACTAATATGAACAGAAGAGGCACCTATACTATACAATCTATTTTCGATATTAATTCACGTATTGTGTTCTCCTTGATTCAGTGTTTAGATTTTTCTGCAACGGTGTACTTTATTCACTTTATATTTTGCTGTGCATACGCTGGATTCCCTCAATCATTATCGTGGTGGATAGTCAATATGATTTGTTTATCTGTCATGGCAATAACTGGAGAGTATTTGTGTATGAAAACTGAATTAGCTGCTATACCTGTGACTATAGTAACATCTAATAATACTAATATCAATGATAAGAGTAATGTTAATGATTAAAAATAATTGAATGTTTAGAGTCGAAAATGGAGATCTACTGCTATAACTGCAATCTTTGAAATGATATACAGCTTGTTCAATTAAGTCAATTTGCGATAATTGTACTCGAAAATGACCTTTTTCATAAAATTAATTTATTGTATGAGTAGTTGAAAATATTATTTAAAGATGATATCATACAAGATGTAGCTTAATTTAAATTCTGAATAATAACAATGCTTATAAATAGTAAAATTTTAACAAATAAAATCAGGAAAGAATTTCGTTATCAAACAATATACACAGTACAAATGCGATATTAAGTTTGCACGGTATAATTTACAAAAACGGAAACATACGAGAAGTCTTCAAATAGTAGGTAAATTGTCATAAAGGCATTGTCGATATTATGCTGTCAATAACGAATGAATCCACTATCATAAGATACCGGAGAGTCCATGCAATGACAAATCTTGTCAAAGCTTATATGAAGGATGCAGTAAAATGAAACTAGTCCGGTTTGGAAAGGATTTTTTCTTTCCATAAGTTGTAGCTTATCTGATTATCGTCACTCTCATCATCAGATTTAACCTCACTTTTGTGTAGAGCCCGATTTTCAGTTCGATCTAAACGTGATAATAAAAGCGAAATTTCGTATTAATTGCTTGGCGAAGAGCACAAATGGCAGATATGAAGGTGATTTATGTCATTATGACCTATTGGAATACCAAGTCGATCTAAACTATTGTTGCCTAGACGCTTGCCCTTCGTTTCTTTTCCTTCTGCTATTTTCATTAGATATTAAGAAAACGTTTTGAAAGCTAATAAAGGAACGCCATGAACAGAATAATGCTACTGAAAATACGCTCAATTTGAGCTATTTATAATTCACCTATAATTCTGTAGAGAATATTAGTTATTTAACTACAAGAAATTCATGATTAGTACCTTCAATCTGTCGTAGGCAGGCTGTTAGAGATTCACATAGATTAGAAAACATGCCTTTGCTGATAGATGCTTTGCTATAGAGCTTATCCTTGCTAACCCTTACCTTTAAATGCCTACAGTCGGAGAATGAATTGGTTGATTTTTAGATAATTATCATAACTTTAGGATGTACTAGCGACTTTGTTGTAATTTACCATGTACGAAGGTACATGTAAGATGGCGTATTTATAACAAATGCATCATGCTTGCGGTACACGGCTTACCTGCATGCAACACAGAGAGCTGCAGCCGGAAACTGAGGCTTTGTAATGTCAATGCAGTTGTTATTACCATTGGCACATTTACTATTTACGTCTACTGCAAACCTGCATGGAGTAATTGGAATGGTGCTTTTTGTCATTACAACTTTTCAAATAGTCATAAATTATGTACAATATAGGGATCAATTTTGATCCTTTTATAAACAAATTCTATTGAGGTACAATGACTAGGTAATAAATAAATACAATTCAGGTCGAGGTAGCGAATTCATTGACTATCGATACTGCATAAAGGATATGATTTCTTTTGCTACAGGTGTTAAGAAGTAGACAATTAACGCACTGTACAAACCTATCGAGTAATTTTTCAGCCAAAAGCTCAGCATTGCCTATGCAATTTGCGAAAACGGCTAGTTCTTTTACCGAGCATGGCTTGGATGCATTGAGTAAAACTTCGTATGTTTTATACATGGTATTATACACTTTTCTTGATGTTCCTGCTAATTTTGCAGCAAGTGCCTAGCCATCAATATTGGATAAGAATATACAATATTAATGCCGGGGAAGAAAGTCATGACTGACGACAAATTGTATTATTATCAATTAACATTAAATCATGTTTATCGAGGTGAAATGATGAATTTTGTTTTCTATTTTGTATCATTCATTCATCATTACGTTTGCAATAACAGGTAGACCAACCTTATCGACAGACTCATCAAAGAGTGTCGCTGCCAAGTCAATGCATATCACAATTCTGGACGAAGAGGTAGCCGGCAGTAACTTACTTGCATTATTATTGCAGCGAATAGTAGCTAATCGATAGAATTCGGCTGCTTTCCCTAAAACTGGCTTATTTTCTACTAATAAACGAGCACCATAGTTGGCAATTTGTTTCTCCATACCAAATTAGTGTGCAGACCAGGTAGGCATTGGCATTGATTTGACGACTAGGTGGTGTCCACTCGTATTGAAGGTTCAAGCTGTGCTGTGTCGCTACAGTACTACATACTGTATATACAGTACAGTACTGTAAGATACTGCACTGGACACTGACGTCAGATACTGGACGGAAAGTCGCACGGACTGCTTGGATCTTGAAATCTGACCCTTGACCACCTACAGTACATACTGTACAGTGTACAGTACAGTTGGCTACGGTTGCCAGTACACGTACTGTACAGTACTGCTTGTAAACATCAAACATTACCCAATGAATTGCAGTGAAGAAAAAGCGTAGTACAGTACTGTACGGTACAGTACGGTACTGTACGGTACAGTACGGTACTGTACTCGTACACATGGAAATCGTACTCCGGTAATAGCGGTATTTTTACTACATCCACTTCTCCATGCTAGCAGTACATGCGAGTCTCAAGCGGTTGCAAGATGGCATATTTTCGTTTAGCATCATCTGTTGGATGTCGAAATTTAATCGCTAATCATTCATGGAAGCGAATGAGCACAGCAGCTGAGATGCTGCCAGCTAATGTAAAGGATATGCTTCCGCCGGGCACTTTTAACGGTAAAGTGGCGTTTATAACCGGAGGTGGCACAGGGATCGGTAAAGGCATAGCAACTAACTTGTCCCGCTTGGGTGCTTCTGTTGTCATCACCAGCAGGTTGGTGCGATGACATATCAATCTTTTAAATAATCTTATTCGTTCTTAAACTTGATATGATTAATAAATTCATACTGTACTGTACAATATACCAACATCAAGTATACTGTAAGTACTGTAAAATGGCGCAGAATTCTTGATGAAAATTCAATCGAAAGATTTTATTATTTTTACAATATCCTGCTGATGCTGAGTGTGTGTTGTGTACGTAAAGTAGGAGATGCTGTTACTAGATGTTAAACGTACGATATGATAGCTGAGCAGCGAGTATGAATGATCTGTAGTAAAGTACATTCTATAATCCCTAGGCCTGATCCATTTCTACTAAAGATCATGTTTCTTTATACTAACACCACACTCGTCTGCATAAACAACATCAATATTATTATAATTATTTACTGTTAGTTTAATAATATAATTATAAAATATACGTATATACTATAATGTAGTGAACTTAAAACCGATGCTACATTAGCTTTTGCTAGTTTAACAAATTTAATGGTGCGTTGGATACGTATAGCCATAAACTACTAAATCTCTCGCGAAATTGAGTAGTCCATGGTATAACATACCGTATTGACGGCGTGATACAAGAGTCTATATGCAAATTCAGCATAGAGTATGGGATGGTAACCCCCCTGCTCGTGATACTGCGCGTATTTTACGTAAATGTACTATTGTAATATGAAATTTAGTGTAGTTGTATTAGTTACAACAAATTAAATCAACTAATTTAGATGAGAGGAGTAATTACTTATATTTTGGTTAGCAACTTTGAGTTACTTGGTCAATGACAATTCTATTAAAGTAAAGTTAATGCTGTAACTGTATTATTCACATATCCAATATAATAATTAATTGAAATACATACGATCTATAATTCAACATAACTACGCGTATGTAGATCATTTGCAGCTATTATGACTTGCACATTATTGTGATTATGATTGTAAGATAATTGATAGCAAACGTCACGGATAATTTATCTAATTAATTATAGGAAGATTGATGTTTTAGAGAAAACAGCTGCAGAAATTTCTGATGTCACAGGCAATAAGGCTAGTTTACAGTGTCTGAAATAAAAATTGCGATATTACTTTAATGAATGGTATCCGTTGCAAATTTACTAGATTTTAAAGATAATGCATACAATAAATTAATGAAGTATTTTGATGATTCTAAAAGAATATTTTTGCCGTTATAGGTCTACCCTATTCAGGCTGATGTACGAGATGCAACAGCAGTTACAAAAGCTGTAGACCAATGTCTTAATGAGGTTGGCTTGCCGACTCTTATTGTCAACAATGCTGCAGGAAATTTTGTTTCTCCAACTGAACGCCTAAGTGCAAACGCTTTCAGAACAATCGTTGAAATCGTATTACTGGGAAGTAGTAATGTTACTTTAGAAATTGGCAAGCGATTAATCGAGGCCCAGAAAGGTCAATCTCACTTAGTCGACTAAATTTTATGCTTGAAGTCGTCTATTTTTTCCAATCTATAGCCTTTACTATAATTTGGTATAGGCTATATCCCACACAGTCGTTTGTTGAATGATCTTAATGCAATATTTTCGATTTAGCTGGTGCATTCGTATCGATATCCACAACTTATGCCGACGTTGGATCTGGTTTTGTTGTGCCATCTGCTTGCTCTAAAGCGGGAGTAAACGCTATGGTTAGGTAATCCAGAATAAACTCATAAGCTAGATGTGGTGGATAATGTATTTTCATTGATAGTAAATTGATTGATTTATTTATTAGATTGCATTGTAAATAATATAGTGATTAACTTTTTCAAGGTCTCTCGCAGCAGAGTGGGGGCGTTATGGAATGCGATTTAATGCTATTGCTCCTGGAGCTATTGAAACTAAAGTAAATTCCTTTGTATATAATGCTACTCTTGATATTATTTTGCAAATACTTCCACATTATATTGGCATATCCTTTTACTAGATTGCAAAAATACGCTGTAGTTATCGTAATACTAAGTTAATACCTGGATTATATTATTAAGGGTGCAATGAGCAGGCTTGATCCTACCGGTGGATTTTATAAAAAGGCTATCGAAAGGACACCTGCTGGTAGATGTGGGCAAATTGGCGAGCTGGCTAATTTAGCTTCTTACTTACTTAGTGATTATGCAAACTGGCTAAGTGGAGAGGTAGATTGTTACAAATAGTTATCAAAGCTGGCAATATTATGGATTTAAGAAATTTGCAAATCATTTATTTTGATATATACGATGAATATTTTACCCTCTTTAAAATTCCTGGTAGGTAATCAATCTTGACGGTGGTGAAATGGCATACATGGCTGGACAAATGAACGCGCTGTCGTCGGTATATTTCTCGGAGCAACACTTATCTTATATTATTAATTATCATTTAGTACGTTATTAACGGCTATTTGAAACTCATTATCACATTTTACGTTTAGGTATCTAGTAAAGAGTGGGATTTGATGGAGAAAGCCATTCGATCCGTTAAAGGATCGTAATATACTGTCAAGCCAAGAAACTCACTTGCAAGTTGAGAAATTTGCAGATTTATTAACTTCAAAGTGCAAACCGATAGATGTGCGTTTTCTTGATACCTTACTTGCACGACGCTAAAGAATAATCCAGATTTTTGGTATATAATATTACTATAGTTTGCCAATGCTGCACTTTGTATAAGATTTAAAAGGATGTTGCTGATTATCCATAATACTAATTAACTAATCCCAAATTAATAAAATAAAGTCTACATTATATTCGTACACACCAGTTGGATGGATGATTTTATTCTTGAAGGTACATACTTGTATATATGTGGTGAAGCATCATGACTAGGGTTAATTATAGGGGAATTTTAATTACTAATTATAGCATGTTCGAGTTTATATGGCTGAAAATCTTTTTTCGTACTCAGTATTGTGTCGCTAGATACAGTAGATGCTGTACAGATATTGTAGAATATTTAACGGTTTCTTAAGGATACACTATCAGTTATAGAAGGTAGTAAACCAGACTCCATAATTACTCCTAGCTCGCCACCCTGCTAGTGGTTTGCAATAATGCAATTTGAGCGTTTACTACAGTTATTACAGTATACATATACTGTCATTACCGTTTCTTCGACCGAGTGTATCTGAGTGTACACTGTACAGTACATGTACAGTAAGGAATGCCTCGCTAATGAGCAACAAGGCCAAAATAAGGCAAAATCTTCAAGCGCCTTAACGTCTAAATTAAAGCCTTTTCAGCTGCTAGTGCGATTTCCAAATCTGTTCTACTGTATACAGTACTGTACACTGTACAGGGTGTAGAAATTCGATCTAGATTAAAAAAAAACAGATAAAATGATCAAAACTTTAAGCAGATATACAGTTTTATGGGTTTTATTCGAAAATAAATCATAAAAATATTCACTGACTTATCTAGAAAGAAATTCTACACCTTGTACAGTACAGTACAGTACTGTACACTGTATAAGTACAGTACAGTACAGTACGTACAATACTAAGTACAGTAGTTTTCTAGTTTTGACTGTGCTTTACTATAGAAACCACTGTAGTGTGCTATGGTCATAAACTACTAGAAACAACACCTCAGACGAACGGACTTTTCATATCAGATAAGGCCGTAAATATCGATAAATAGCTACTCCGTATAGATGTTCCGTGCCTGTTTTCTAAATCACTCGTATCGATTTGAATATTACTAGTACAAACTCCCGTCGCTTTGCCGACGGTTTACGATAATGTGCTCATTTAACAGATAGTATTACCATTTGATAGACCTGTCAGAGGTTCAGTAACTTTATAGTTTATACCGTGTACTGTACTATGGCCATACTGTGTACTGTTTTACAATACATTGTATTGTGCTTTACAGTACTGTACAGTACAGTACGTCAGTGACTGTACTGTACACTGTAAACGCTAGAATCCGTTGAACGTGAGTTTTTCCCCACTGCTAGATCATCGGATTTGCCTCGCCTGGAGTTGGAAACATTTTCTAGTTAGCATCGACTGTTTGTTGTGTGAAATCCACCATGCTTTCCCGTTTTGTTGTACGCTCTACTACTCTCGTACAGTATTTTAATACAGCAGTGTACAGTACGGTATGCCCATTATGGCCATACTGTACTGTACAGTACTGTACTGTGTACAATTTTACAATACATTGTATTGTGCTGTACTGTACAGTACACCGACGCCTTGACGCACAGTGTACAGTACAGCACTGTACAGTACTGTACTGTACGCCAGTGACTGTACACTGTAAACGCTAGAATCCGTTGAACGTGAGTTTTCCCCACTGCTAGATCATCGGATTTGCCTGGCCTGGCGTTGGAAACATTTTCTAGTTAACATCGACTGTTTGTTGTGTAAAATCCATCATGCTTTCCCGTTTTGTTGTACGCTCTACTGTCACACGACATTTAGCTAGAAAATTTCAGTCAAGTAGCCATGTAGCCAATGCTGAAGCCCCTGCAATTAACCAACAACTTAGGGCATTAGAAGAAAAAGCCAAGGGGCCATGGAAAGAATTAAGTGCGCAGGAAAAGATTGCAAGTAAGTTGAGCCTGCTTGCAAATTGATCAGCGATAGCCCATCGTTGGTGCTATGACAGTTCTTCTGTGCTTATTTGATCGCCTTTAAAGCTTACTAATTAATAAACAAACTATCCACTCGATTGAATCAGTACTTGTGTGCCTTTTATATTAACTTAATTATATTGACTTTTTTGATGGAGCCAATGATGAACGCATACAGTGCATTTCGTACGTCCAACTGCTGTACTGTAGATTGTATTGACTACTGTGACATAGAACGTGCAGGGGCTAATCCAGATGGGTAATCGTGACTATGGATCGCAAAAACCATACGCGCCATAGACTCTTTAGATCTAGACGACTTGAATGAGAGACAACTGGGTGAAAAATGTCTCCTCAAATTATTTTACACTAATCATAAGTGGTTTGCATAAGAAATAGTACAGTTGAATACTTTTTCACTAGCAAACTTTGGCCGTTGATCGTTTCAGATTCTCAATGTCAAGGGAATACAATATGGGATAGCGATAGTCCTGTAGGACATACGGTATCAAAGTCTATCCTCAACATACTGCTTCTTGTGCTCTAGAAAATAGTCATCTACACTTCATCAAATCTTAACATACTATTTGCCCCATTTGTTCATGCTTTAGTGAAATTTTTTTCCTTACTGTGTTTGCCCTAAATAAGTTGTAGTATGCCATTTTGGTTTTGCTCGTACAGTGACTGACTGGACGCGTAGTAGTAGCACTACTGTATATACACGTACGCAGATCTCCGAACGAAGCTGCGCATAGACGTATTATGCTTCTTTTTTCTATTTTTTATTTTTTTGTAATAATAAATATTCCTTTCTAGTTTACCGTCAGTCATTCAAGACAACTGTTGCTGAACATAGAAAACCTGGTCCATCGAAATGGCAACCCGTATTTCTTGGAACTTCGGTGTTAATACTAGTCGCTACCGGTATTTTCATGTTTATGAAAGCAAAAAGTAAGTCTACATCTCTATACCAACTTGTTTCATAGGTGGATGGATTTTAGAATAGAGAGTACATGCTAGTAGGAAATTGATGTTAAACGTAGGTAGTGTTTTTTAACCTTGATGTAGGGTATCATAGTTTATCGATATAGGAAATGTTATATCAATTTTACAGCTTTACCTACGGCACATCTTACCTTACATCAATGATACCGTAGAGAATGGTTTTCTTAGCAGTGCTATAATAGCAAATGGAATGCTATGCCGAATAGGATAGTAATAACGTGCTACCATTTCTTTTCATGCAGATGATATTACTGTAAAGTAGCCTCTGATAAAAGTATTATTACGTAATAAATACAATTGTGGATTAAATGACATATCATTGTACTAATGACGCTAATCTGTTAAAAGTATAGCGTTATGAAAGTTACTCATGTACAAGGCTTTTCCTTACAGTTATCGCTAGCAGTTGATATTCAACTTGATCGCACACTTAGCCTAAATCCTAACGCAGGAATAATAATTTTAAACATTGTCAATTTTACGTTATGCCTTTTATAGTCAGTCCACCAACTCCACGTACAATCAATAAGGAATGGAAGGAAGCTCAAAGACAAAGATTACTTAGTCAACAAGCTAATCCTATTGAAGGCATGTCTAGTAAGAAATAGAAAGTCACAGAATAGAATTTCAGCTGCATCGCGATGTTTGTGGTTTATGAATGTTATTATGAAACGTAAATATCCATCTATATTTTCCAACCACTGACACATTTTAAGTTGTTTCCATCTACAGTACATATACATTGTTTACGGATCTATACCTTGCAATGTGACAGTCTTGCACTGGCATTCCTCAAATAATGAGACAATAATATAAAAGATTGTGGAAAAATTACCGTTACTGTAGCACGTTATTGTATTTTGTGGTTAAAACCTACCTTTAGCGATGTGTTCAGTGAACTAGAAGGCTTGGCATGTAACAATTTATGCTTTCAGATTTTTAAGTATTATGATCATAATGGATATTACGGAAATTGCTTTCATTTTACTTCCTGCTATGTTGTAGTAACTTGATCGTTTTAGAATTGGAGAATAAATATCTTTAAAAATCGTACTGTGGTTGTATCTATCAGATTCGCCCGTTTGATTGATTTATCTTATGCGTTCAGCGCAATTTTATGATCGATACAGTTTCTGATATCATGCATTCAAACCAACATACCATACCAATATTAGAATTCATTGACTTGAAAAAATTTACTACTGAAAAATAACTAGTTTGCTTCATTTCAATTTCGGCGTTGCAAGTTACAACCGACCTATTTGGACTTTATTCTATTCATCATATCGAACTAGAAGTGCATTACATTTGCGATAAAAAGTATTTATTCTGCCAGTGTGTACAAAGCGTAGGCATGAGATAGTAAAAATTTTATCCTCACTTTAAAATTTACAATAACTGTTGGAATCAATTGACAGTTACTTATGTAAAAAAATAGAATGATGCAAAATTTAAGCTCGCTGGGGATCTTAACAAATTAATATTACACAGTGTATAGAACAACTTTATCGCCAAAATATAAAAATGGCAAAATCGAGGATTTGCAATCCCAACTGATGCCGTATTAGTATAAACTTTTTAAGGTACAGTACTAGATATCGTTAAATCATTTTTAATGTAGTATGTTCTACAATTTCAATCATAAATATAAGCATCGCCAATTAAATTGTGATAAAGATCATACTGTAAACAGAGTAACCAATTTTTTCTAATACGTCATACGCAGATTCTCTAAAAAAATACTTTTACGCTTGATAGTAAAAACTTGGAAGAACATTAATACACCAAATACTGCATGAGTATACGGTATAGTCGAGATCTGCATAAATCGGTGGTTAGTGCAAATCAATAACGTCAAATATATTGTAGTAGGAGTGGATCTTTCTTTAGGATGTTCATCTGGAAGTTGGTATTTTCCTCACACCTGTAAAAAGGAATAAAAACGATGAGAATTTAGAAATAATTATATGCAATAGGATAATTCGCCTCAAAAAATCCAAATAATGGCAGATCGTAAAAGTAATGTTACTACTGCAAATGCTGCCTATTATTTAGAAATTCTAATTAAATACAACAGGTTGGTATTTCTAACTTACTTATTAGTATTTACAAAAAAGGGTTTGAATACATGTAGAGGAACATTAGTCTGCGGATCGCTACTTAGCTCCCTGCAGGAGAAAATTGTAATGAGAAGTGATATTAATAAACGCAATTAGAAATCTTTTATGGTTTTAGCACTGATAAAAGAATTTTAAGCTTACTCTATCTCCCGTCGTAATTTGTCTATTTGATTTGATAATTCATTTTCTTCTTCTTTTTGAAGTCGAATTTCCTATCCAGAAAACAATTTTATGTGTTAAAGCTTCCGTGTAGAAAAGAGCTTTCATGTAGATAATCTATTTTAGAATGCAGCAGATATTAGTTTTACCTGCTTTACGGCGATATTTTGTAATGCTAATTCTTTAACACCTTTTGGCATAGAATCGATTATCCGCTAAAAATAACAACATAACAACAACATGGAATCAGCTCCTTCATGATCAATAGTATATGTTTGTTTACCTATGCATATTATCAAAGTCAAAAAGCTTATCGATAAATCTTACATCTGTTATATCTCCTAGTAATGTTTCTGTCGCTTTGCCTTCGTCTAAGTGCAGCTTTGTACCTTCTATACCAATTAACCCATTTAGATTCCCTAATTCGCTCTAAAATTTAAAGAAAAAGTATGAGTATAATTATATAAGTATCCAACTGATTTGGTATATTTTAGATTAAGTCATAGCGCAGACCTCTTGTTCTTGACGTAAACTATCAATTTGATGCTTTAGTTCGAGTATTTTCATGGCTTTTACAGGATAATCTTTGTCCTATATCAAAAATGTAATAGTACTGTTTAGTAATAATCTAATATACATTACAACAGGTGTTAGCTCGAAATTGAAGTCTGTAGTCTATATTTCATTTACCTTATAAGTTAGCAATGTCCTTAACTGCACATTTTTCTTCCCTAGAACCGCCTCCAAATCACCAAGGCGCATTTCTAGGTCTATGATAAGATAATATTTGATACATGAGCGGATAGTCTTTGTCATAACTTATTTGCAATCAAGAGTTGCGAATTAACCTGATAATTCTTTATTAGCTTTCTGCTTTGCCACATTTAGCCTGTCTTGTGCTGCAGCTTTATCTTCGTCATATTTAGAATATATAGATGACATTGCGCCCTATTGCAATAAACATCCATGTCATGTATTACTTATAAATTAAAATTTAGGTAGAAGTTTTAAAGATATCGCATTTATTAAAATATTTAATTCTTACCCTAAACATTTGATATCTTTGTAACAATTTCCGTACTTTTCCATACTATGTAAAAAAGGGTAATACAGTGGTATACAGTATTAGTGGTGAGCTAGTTTAAACTTTGAATATGGCACTGCCAAGCCTATTTACCGCTTCTTTTTCTATTTCATTGATCTCGCCTATAAGTCGGCTGTTTTCATTTGTTCTTTAATTTTAAATTAAGGCAAAATGTATAAAGTATATATATGTACTATTTCCATTTTATCTTGCTTTATCAATATCTCTTGTAGATTTGTATTTCACAACTAATTCAGCGATAATTATAGTATAATCAAATACGGTGAGTCCTATCCTGTACTACATACAGTGAAATTAATATACTGTAGTAGGAATAAACATACTGCCTCTGCATACTTCAGATACACAGTATTTGCATTTCACTTCAGAATTAGCGACGTACCATTATATATATATATATATATAAGTTTCACTATTTAGCAGAAATGTAAGAATATATTCTGCTGGTTCATCAGCAATACTTGCAAAAGTAGTTATATACTTGTTATACTGCAATGGGCTCGTGAAAAATTATGCCACCGGCATCCTACCGCAGATATCAAATGGTATACGCCTATCAAGTTATATCCACAGTGGGTTCCACACTATAGCTGTCTAGTCAGAACGCAGGCCGTTGCCCTAGCAACGGCCATGCATTACGGCTACATTCTATGGTTTTCTATCTAGTGCTTTACCACGGACTTCTATGCACTTATATGCAAATACTGTACTTCAGTGTAGCATTCTATACTTCTACTTGATACTGAATAATATATACATTCCGCCGTAGTTGTAAAATAGGATCGTAATTTAAAATAATTTAGGATACAAATAAGAATATCGTTGTTGTTGTTCAGTGATTCCTTTTTCCGCTATTTTAATTTGAGTCTATAAATTAAAAAAATTGAAATACGTCATTCAACTAAATATGTCAATAATTTCTGCCTTTCATTCAGAAATTATAGACACTATCGCTATTCGAGAACATATAATTTTACACATTTAGGAGCTGACTATAGTTCCAAAGTACGACATGAACTAAACGGAATAGCACAGTAGTAGCTATGATTTGCAATCTAATATTGTCCCGAAATACTGGTGCCGACGATATCAATTATAAAAATATGAGAGAACCCAAGCATAATGCGTTTTGTAGCAGATTAATATGTTAGTAAGAATCAGAATAAATTCAAAATCCAAGATCATAAATAAAGTATCATAAGCTATCGGATTCGGAGTCATGATTTACTCGAAATCGGCGTTCATCATGTATTTACTATTTACAACGGGAAGGACACACGGCATGTAATGATAATACTTAACTTTTGAATTAATATATAATTTGTGTTAAGGATTACTTTGATATAAAGCTAACCTGTAATAATGCGACTTCTTTCAATTTTCTTTCTAAAACGACACTGAGTGGAATCTCATCTCGCTTGATCCAAGAGTGATAACAGCACATGAGTGAACAACTTTCTCCTGCCCGTTTTTTATCATGCACTTGCGTTAGGTTTGATTGAATATTTCTTTCAACGACATTATTAAGCGCTGGAAGTTGAACTCTGCGAGTGGTGTGTTTCTGGCTCTTACTTGTCGAGCCTAATACGTCCCTGATATAACGATTGTTTGATATTGCCTTAACGTCTTCATTATTCCATCTCGAAAATATTTTGTCGTTCGATTTAACACTTCTTTGCCAATTGTGTGGGGAATAACCAGAAATAACGCTTTTTACAGATGCCATGCTATAACTTTCATTAAAATACAAACACTAAATGATACTGATCTATTATGATGCCTATATATACGCGTATAAAAAAATAGACAAAATTAACCATAGATCATAACGTGAGAGATTACTTTTTACCAAGATATAAAAGTAAACTATTATGCACAGTAACGAGTAAAATTGCTGTATTTATACTTGTAAATGCTGAATAATACAGAACAGTGTATGTGTTTAATGATTAGCAACAGTTAATATGAGAGCAAACTATATTTACTGCATTTAATACGCAAGTCTACTATGTTGGGGGCCAGACAACCAGACTTCTGGACTAAAGTTGTTTGTATATGGTCTACTCATCGCCAAGATTTATGATGCACTAAGAATAGCTAGTGCTGATACATTTAATGCAATGTTGATGGAAACCGACTTCAATAGCTATCTCGATTTTCATTTTACCCATATTACAAAATTGGATTATGCATTTATCAAATATTATTTGACATTCAATCTATTTTTCTTCGGATCATAAAATAGAGAGCATTGATCTGTCAAGTTTACCAGCCACGAACATGTTAAATCTTTATGCTAAAAGAGTACGAAAGGGAAAGCGTTGATCTAACAATCTTTAATGAAGCAATGTCTTATTATTAATTATATATAAGTGTTAATATATACAGTGTACGCGTATTGTACTTAAGAATACTTCGACAGGAAATTATTAGAGACTATCAAGAATTGATGTATTAAATATGACTGAATTTATATAATTAACCACCATATGGATCTCTTTTAATGTAATATCATGGCGTAAAATATATCTAATCCATGTATGGACGGTTTACAGTGGAATATTTAATAATTTCCATTATAAATTAAAAATGAAATCCTTATTTTTGTTTGTCGATCTAGATCTGTCAGTTTACTAAGTGCTGAAAGAATTTAGAATATATACTGGTGAAGAAAAAAATAGCTAGTAATGAATTTTACAGACATATTCATAGTGATACATTTTAAAAAAACTGTACGAATCTTTCTGATCTTTCACTACTAAAATTAGCCCAACAAAAGCTTTATGATGTGCCTAGCAAAATACATAATTCTAGCTTAATACAGGTAAAATCAAAAACAAAACTATTTCGAGTGACATAATTAGTAACACCAGTTTAATGTAGTTAGAGACGATTAGAGCTAAAAAGATCAATAATTATAATAGATCTCCATTCAGTAAGATTAATAGACCAGCAGCTTTATACTTTTATTAGCCAAAAACGCATATTCAGCACTCATATAGTTTGAATCCATTAAAACTATGACAAATGATAGAAATGTCTAAGCCACTAGAATAGTGGGGAAAATTCGTGAGACTTGCCTTTAGTATTGAAACAGTATCACTATAGTTGTCCCCATTAAGTGATTACTGCACTTGGCCACTGTCTTCCTCGCTACTACTTCTACCACTATAATTTAATGACTTATATATAAAATGTGTACTTATTCAATATTTCTGTACGACAAATGCGTAAATAGGTAAATCTCTAGCTATTAAAGGTATTATACATTTAGGATATACAGATTTTTTTACAGTACTGATAGTTGATTACAATTTATCGTCAAAAAAATGATTACTTAGAAGTAGTTACTTCAAGGCAAAATTTCGGAAATAATCTCACGATAGCAAAAATCTTACGCATGGTACGTTATTTACTTTCTTACATTACTTCACAATCAAAATATAACCTGTGGGTAGCGCTACAGCAAGGGAAAATCAGCATAGAATAATGCATTGTATAAAAACATAATCGACTTAAATAGTCAATGTAGAACTCCATTTCAAAATACCCATCAAGACATAAAATTAGCGACTCAGTATTATGACATATTCGACTTAGCAAAAATTTTCTATATTAGAGTAGTATGCAGGTTCAATTAAACTCCAATTTTTATCAGGATGGTTCTCGCAGAATCGTAATATGCTACCATTGACTATGAAAATTACAGGCATGTAGAATCTTTGATGATATAAACAAAAAAGATCAATACATTAATCATTTTCTTCAGAGCTACTAGAATCTGAGTAAACACCAATGCCAGGAATAGCAATAGCAGTTTCATCCGGTGGACTCGAGGTAGTTGTCGGCTTGATTTTTTTGGCATCAGATTGTCTAGTATCTGTAAATAGCGAATATAAATGTATCCCATAAAGTATTATTAAATTAATTTAATAAATCCGATTTTAAAGAATAATTATCGAGCTAAAAATAGTAATGATTGATTGTCACTATTAGAATGGTAGTAGGAAACCAACCAGAATCAATGGGCTTTGATTCTTTCTCTTCAAAGCTCCTAATAATTAGCACAAGATTTTAATTTTGAAATCAAATATACTTTAAAGAAAACCTTATCATCAATGTAAGCGCATCCTTTTAGCTTGGAAATGACATAGCAAGCTGATTGCAGTGCTTACAATTTTAAAATAATTATTTAATCTAATAAGGAAACTGATTGATTTATATATGAATAAAAGTAGATAAATAATACCACGCTACAAAAATATTTACCTTTTCCTCTGTCTAACTAATCCTGATAGCAATTGGGACTGCGTTTTCTTGTTGTTCTTTATAATCTCAGGAGGATACGATTTGTGAGTTTCGACTATAGGTTTATTATCAACTTCCTTAGAAGCTAACGAGCTAACAGCTTCATATACATTTATTAAGGTCTCTATTGTAGGTTGTATTTAAAATCTATATTTCTATGAAAGTAATCAGTTTGATGCAAATATTAAGTTGAACATCTTACTATCTGCAGCGTAATGGTAGACGCAAAATTTTAGCAGGTTAAAAATATATGTAGAATGTAATAAAGGATATTCTAAATTTTTTAACGTCTTCTATCTCTCGCTGCCATTGTTGCACCTCTAAATCAGCTTGTAATTGATTTGAGTTATCTAAAAAATCGGCTTCATCGTCGTCTAGGCCGCGAATCATGTTTTCTAGATTTTAAAATGGTTGCAATAAAGGATATTTAGAACAGATAAGAACAGCTAATATTAAAGTAACTACTCAAGTTATTGAATTTATATCACTCTATTTTCACTCAAGCCAGCAAGATCGCTGAAATAAAACTACAGAAGTAGTAAAGCAATAAATTTGTAAGATACTGTAGTAATAATTTACATGCTATGTAATACTGGCTATATTATTACACGCATTTGCACTCATTCTGGGCTTTTGTATAATCAAGACTACGAAACTGGTAATTTTGCTGCCTAATAAGGAATTTAATTCTATATGCGAAGCTTTTACGTACTGAATTTAAATTGTTCATCCCATTCTTCTTGTTTCTTAGTTTTTTGTTCTTGTAATTGTTCATACAACGATCTCCTGTCAGTTAATTCCTCTGGTCGATCTGCAGATAGGACTTGATATTAGTACATTGCATACTGCTACATCTATGGATTGCATTGAAGGAAGTCAACTAGTCAAGATAATTTTCAGAGTCTATAGCAGTAAAAGTATAATGCGACCCATAAATATGATACGCCATGAACCGTAGGTCGAGATACAGTGGCATTTATCTTACACAAATAGTAAGGGCTGTGATTTGAAGGTATAATATCTAATTGATGAGCACAACAATGCTGCATGAAATCCTTAGGATCAACATAAGTTGTATAACCCCAGCTGCCTCGATTTCCCATCTTACTAATAAGTTAGCTAATCGTTACAGTAAAAACACACTAAGTATGAGTATAAGTATTGCAAGATTTAATCCTCCAGCGATTGATTGGCTTTCATTCTGTTACTGCAAGGCATCCGTCTTGGGATCAGAATAATTTTGACCGTCGATTGGATTAGCAATAAGTCATCATTCAATACGTACACACACTGATTACTGCAGAAGCACCAAGCCACCAAAGCATAGCAAGGTACCATGATTAGTAATTTCGTGCTCATTATGTTGATACAATCTTTATACATTTATTGCCTGCTTGAAATCAGTCAATCCAGTGATAATGAATGATTCTTTCTCTTTGACTTACCAATAACAGATTTACTACTTTCATCTTTAACTTTCTTCCATTCTTCCTCACGCTGACGCCTGAGGTCTTCTAACTCGGTTTCTGTCACGAAGGATTTCAGTTGTCCCTTGGTGCTGGCATTCATGCCTTCTTGACTGAAATAACTCATTGTAACGCGATACAAAAGGCAATTCCCAATATCTTTAGCAAGGTAATATCATCAAGATGTCTATAGATTATCGATTCAATAGAAATTAAGGGATATAATGCAATACGATCAGATTTCCATTAAAAATAGTCCACAGCCATCTTCTATAACTTGCTGCAAGACAACCGTGACTTAGGAACTGAAGGTTGAGTACCTGTACAGCCTACAAGTACTGAGATTGCATGTCTAGCAGTGCTTGTATGCCAATCTATGCCCAATGCTGTGTTGTACTGTATGAAAATAGTAAACGTGTACAAGACCTTTAGTCCAATGCTCCATTGGATGTCCGGAGAGACGGATGCGCATTACTCCATGAGGGCAGGAACCTTTTTCAAGTTCCCTTGATCAGGGTCTAGCTGGTCCGGTCCGGTCCGATCCGGTCCAGCATTCGAGCCTGGTTCAGCTCTCATCTTGAATGGTTGGTAGCTGCTGCAGCTTGCTTTAATCGTTGAATTTCTCCATTTCTAACTTGGCTGCGATTTATAACTCGGTAATATGCCCAAGAATCTTATTTATCACTATGTATAGCTAGTAATAATCTTATTAGTATAGTTGCAAACTACTGTACTGCTGTTGGTAGTGAAAATGGATCGAACTCTATCTGTACCCACAACGCCATGATGCAAATACAGGGCTACCCTTGCAGCCCTATGGAGCAGTTGGCGTACATTGTCAGCGCCAGCAATATGAAATTCTGCAATCTAAAAATCGAGCTATTAACTCTCGGATTGCTTAATCGTAGCATTTTAAATGAAATTCTAAGTAATATTCAACATCAGTTGGATCAGTTAGCATGTAGAATTGGCAATACTATTTTACAGATTATTCCTAGGATTGAGAAATACCGCTTGACCTTTTGATAATACACGTATGCTTAGGCATATGTAAACTGCGATCGACTTAATTCATCAAGACTTGTGGTAGATGAAATCATTCATTTTTTCATTTTCGGATCTAGGTGAAAACCTTCCTATATTAACTGCAATCAAGGATAAAACAGAAACCTTCTATAAGCGTAGAATGCAATTCCAAAAAGTTTCATTACATAGAACCGGCTTATTCGGAACCTGTAATCAACGACTTCATAATATTTACAATCATTTGCTAAATTCCAACTGCAAAATGTCTACATCTGGTCAGCGTTTTGCTGCAGCCAATGATGAAGCTATTCTGGAAGTACGAAATAAAGTTGGGTTGATAACGCTAAATCGACCCAAGGCATTAAATGTGTTAAGCTTAAATATGATCAATACTATTTATCCCATTATGATGGAATGGGATAAAGATCCTAATGTCCAGGTAATAGTTATGAAAGGTGCTGGCGAGAAAGCTTTTTGTGCTGGTGGTGATGTTAAATCCCTCGTTGGCAATCGGCCCCTAAGCAGGGAGTTCTTTCCTACAGAATATCGTTTGAATAACTTAATTGGTGAGATGAATAATATTACATTGTTGTGTTTAAATTTTAAATCGTCTCTAGTTTAATTGAACATTGGCCTTTTATTCCCACTTATAACTTTTATTAATAGTTTAAGATAGAAACCCCATTTTAACTAAACTAACAAAGATTAATATCATATACGACCTATAAATCGCTATCGTCGGATTCTGTATGAGCAATTCATTGACCAAGATATAACATTGCAGTAATACACTATGATTAGGTCATTAAATACGTACGTGCTCAAGGCCTACTCCATTTTCAGCCCCGATAAAACCTGTACCATAAATCACCATAAGTACTGTATCCTCTTCTATTGTCGTAAATCCTATAGAAGCAATTCATAAATGGTAACACCATCTTAATGTCAACACTTTGATTAGATCAGTTAACGCCTGTTTTAGACCTTGAAAAACTTTTCAATTTCTAGCGTATGATAACTGGTATGAGCAGGATGTCATCTTTCTATATGCAATTGTAGGCATTTTGAAGACTCCTTATGTAGCCTTTATCGATGGAATAACTATGGGTGGTGGTATTGGTTTGTCAGTTCACGGCCGCTATCGTGTTGCAACAGAACGTACATTATTTGCTATGCCCGAAACAGCTTTGGGTCTACATCCGGATGTAGGAGGATCGTACTTTTTACCACGGTTGGAAGGCAACTTGGGCATGTATTTCGCTCTCACTGGTGAGTATACTCGTAATTTAGTTTCATCATTTTGATTGAAATTGACAGTGAGCACTATTTAGTTGTATTTTTGATCAGAGGTTATCTCCGCAGTTGTTGATAGTGGTAATATTATATTATTTACAAAATAATTAGTCTATGATAGAATGAATTTGTTCTCGTTTAATTATACTATGTTATACGCGTAGTATAGATTAGTAAACTTGGTTTTAAATTGTTATTTGACAGGGCAAAGAATGAAAGGTAGAGATGTGTATTTTACTGGAATTGCTACTCATTATGTTGGGTCACAAGATATTAACGAATTAGAATCAAAACTTATCAATCAACCAAGTATTACAAATGATGTGGTTCAAGAGATTCTTGATCAGTATCATAAGAAGGTAAGAGCATAAATGATAGAATGACGTATGTCATAGCTAGAAAAAATGATTGATAAAAATTCTCGCGGAAAAAGTACCCTTGTAAAGTTGCAATTTTTCGATATTTTAGCGTAGATGGCTGTATACTGAGTGTATAGATTGAGTCTATCTTTATAATTATAAATTATAACAGTTTTACTCATTAGGAGATCATAAAATAATAGGGAGCTCCCTCTGCGTTTTATATCTTGCGTTAACGCATTAGCTACGTTCAATGTTCTTTTACCGTCTTATAACAAACATTGCAATGTCATTCGTCTTTGTACCGTAAAATGTAGCACGAGGGTGGAGAATTCTCATTTGCTCAGCATATGGACAAAATTAACGAATGCTTCAAAGGAGAAACTATAGAAGAAATATTTACTCTATTAGAAAAAGATGGCTCAGAGTGGGCTATGAAATGCCTCAACCATTGTCGTAAGATGTCACCTAGTTCAATGAAAGTAACTATTCGTGCACTGCAGGAAGGAGCTAAAGCGCCTTCCTTAGCTGATGCGTTGTTAACAGAAAATCGCATTTGTCAGAGAATGATGGAAACAAAAGATTTCTATGAAGGAGTTAGAGCTATATTAATCGATCGTGATAATAATCCAAAGTGGGATCCTGCAACGTTTGAAGAAGTGACTGATGAAATGGTCGATGCTCATTTTCAACCTACTAGTGACGGAGATGTAATATTGCCAAAGCAGTGACTGTTATAAATTTTGTAGTCATGACTGTATCAGTGATAAGATTAGCTGGCATCTTACTTCAAATATGTTGGTATCATCCTTATTATGGTTAATATTTTATTATCTTATGAAGGTACTTCTTAATTACGGTATCAATAGAAGCATGCAATTATTCATATGCAACGTGAAGAAAATTGTAATGCATACTTGTCAACTAATAATATATCGTGTGCATTATACTTGCCAATTGCAATTTCATTATGGCGAACCTGCTTTTAAAATTTTCAATTTTTTGGGTGCAATAGCTAATGATGGTGATAACTTCAATAATAAAGTTTCACAGTAAAAGATATCTGAGCGAGTCTTTCTAATAAGTGTCTTTACAAGACAATTTTATTGACGACAAATCGATGTAGATATAAATAGAAGACTAAGAATTGTTTCAACACTAAAAATTCACATGTTTAAATTCATGGCATTCGTTTCCTTTCGGTATTGCATTACAGTATGTAAAAAAGATATGTTGGTGAAAGTATATCGCCAAACGAAAACACATCAACCAATAAATTCCAGGTTAATAAATGATATACGAGCAGTATAATTAATACTTCTTACTAGAGGATACACCTCAGTAATTTGAAGTATAGCCTTCTAGCATGCAAACGCTATCGCATTTAGATCATACCAATATTTATCTAATGGAAAATATCACGCTATTACACTCTTTTCTAATTAAAATAACACCAAAATTTTCATACCTGATATGGTATTATAAAAATTGATACGTGAACTTTACAGTATGATCTGTTACGATCCATCTATGATTATAATTAAAGATTTACGATAAGAAGGTAATGACTTCGGCACCACCGCCAGCAACCATAACTACCCTTGATAGTTTATCGGTTAACACAGAAATGAATTCCAGATCTGTAATACAATGTCAGTTAAGGTTCATATTTATGATATTTGAAATATGAGTTATATTGGTACGAATTTTGGGCATATCAAACACTTTCTCAAGGATACAATTTCTGTCCTCAGAATCTGAGCTGGGAAGGACAGGTAAATTAATAAATACTGCTTCAGCATCAGTTGACTTTTCTACAATGACTCTATTAAGCTTCACAGCGGCATCCATGCGCCTTAGATTGCCTTCGAAACTAATATGGGTAAAAATAAATGTAATTTCGATCTTACGATTAGAATGGAAAAAGCGGTATTAACCACAACGTAATAAGAAGTATAGGAAAATGTGATGTCCATGTCATACAATTAATACCTACAGCACACTGTTAACAATTTACAAGGCTGAATATACTTACGGCTTTGCGCTTCGTAATTTTCGGTAATAAGAATTATCTGCACCAAAAGAAGGCCTATCGGCATGACGTGAGGCTCCAAGGACACTTAAAGATGATGCCTCATTTGCTCCTTCATCAATAGCAGTAACGGCAAATTTCGACTTTGAAAATTTATGTTGTAAATGCTTATCATCTTCATTATTAGTTGGCTCAATAACTTTGACATTGAATCTGGATTCAGTTACTTTCGTTTCTTTGTCACCATCTGGTTCTGTATGACTACTTGTAGATGAAGTAGCGGTATCATCACTTCCTACAACTTTAACAGCAAATCTACCTACTATGTTTTGGGATGTTTGCTTAGCATCCGAAGGCGTTTCATCCCCTTTCGGGAGAGAACGGAAAGGATCGAATACACTCTTCGCCTATGTTGTATCCAATGTAAAAATTAAATACTGTTAACTAACTTTATCAAACACGATGGTTAGTACAAGGAGTTAAAACCAGTCATATTGAAGACAGAATAACATTTGCTAGGATACCATGTCACTTTCTAACAAACTTTAACCAGTACCTTATCTTGCTCTTTTCTCGAAAGCTTCATCTTATTTAAAACTTCATTCCTTTGTTCCATTCGCAAAGTTCTTTCATACGTATATGCCGATATATCGTTATCAGTCATCTCAACAACTTCTACATAAGCATCAATTCTTAGATCATATACAAGCTTTTTCATATCCTGTTCCAATTTAATACTATTATCTTTCATTTGAGCAACAGTAAAGATTCGTAAACGACAATTTCGCCAAACTTTGTGCTGCTTAAATAAGAATGGCAGAAGCATTAAAAGACCACCATCATGAACAATCCACCATATATCGATATTTCCATTAAGTCTATCACTTCGTTCAGGGAAAAGGCTGATATTTTTAGGGATAACGATTGCCATCTTCTTTGCTAATGCCGTTCGGATAACTCGTACAAGTAATCGCCATGACGATTTCGAAGGCCAATTATCAGGCCAATTCAGAACAACTGTATTTGGCTTCAAGCCACCCATACCACAACTTTGAATACTTTGAAATTTTAAGTAAAATTAAAAATTACGTTGCCTACTTGTACTTAAATATGTAGAAAATGTTGACACCTTAAATATGATATACAACATAGTGATAAGACTTACAGATCACACAGTCCCTGAACGACATCTTTGGAAACGATTACATCTGTAAAGCCCTTAATTTTTTCTTCGCTCATACAACCTTTCAGAGTCTAATCATTTTATGATGTGGTGATAAAGTTAAGAAGTTTAATAATTATGTACTCATTGATAAAATATAGATAATAAAGAGTATTAGCGGTGCTAACGTTCAGAATATGGGTGTATATAAAATAGTACTCGATTGACTGGCGATATATATATCTATAGTACGATTTACCGTAACATTAAGTAAATATTAAAAGCATCTATGCTGACCTCTCTCACTTCGTCCGCTTGTGCGGCATTATTGGTAACGTCGCCTTCTACCACAGAAGCTGCTATTGTCAGTCCTTTGCCTGGTACATGATAAGCACATAATTATGATAAGTTAATTCCAGTTGTGAAACAGCGGGGTTACATGCTAAGCCATTAAAACTGGTATATTCAATGTTGCTATCTCAGGTACCTTTTTTCAGCTGTGAGGCAAAACTTAGCATTCGCTGGTGCAGTGGATTTTCTGAGTGCTTATTCAATTTGGCCAAAACCAACAATTGTGGCCTGGAATAAGTAGATACGATTTACAAAGTTGCTTATATTTTTAAATTATTTGTTAGCATTAATTTGGCAGACCTCCAATTTTTTGTATGTGGCGGACCATCTTCTAGGTGTAAGAGGCTATGACGCGCAGTTTGCATGGCTAATCCCCGTAGTCCATCACCCCACTCTTTTCTCGCACTATCGTAATTCAAAGTAAAGGTAAGAAATTTTTAGAAATACAATGTTAAAAAAAGCAAAAAAAATAATTGTAGTCATCTTCAGATGAAGTACTTACCCCGAATATTCAATGTATTTATATATGATGCAAGCTATAGCAAGCGCTCCCAAAGCGTAATACCACCCAGTAATGATCATCATGGCGATACAAAGTCCTAGCCCAATTAATGACCCAGTCCAATGAAAGTATCTAAATCGTGGTCGCCAACTCGGTGCTTTTAAAAGAGATTGGAGGGTGCAAGCCAGATTAACAAATGAGTAGCACATCAAGAAAAAGCTGCAGCAGAATAAAAACAAAGAAATACGATCAGTAAAAAAGATGATATTATCTGCTTTAGACACCTTTTTACTTGGAAATGAACACTGTTATAAAAACCTACATTGTAATAATTGGTGCTACACTATCTAAGCTAGCAATTATAATTCCAATCTCCGCAATGAAAAAGGTTAATATTAGAGCCCTTGTTGGTTCTCCACTCTTTGAGGTTACTTTGAAGAAGTCTAGTATAGGGATGATACTATCGCTGGCAATAGCTTGCAATAAGCGTGGAGCTCTATTACCATGAAGAATTTCAAATATTAGCAACAACACCCATATTAATTTTGAAATGTTAACGTTGATAAGAAAATATTTCACGTTAAATACTCTACTTTAATGCTTCACTTAAACTAACCCAGTTAAACTTTGTAATCCTGCACCAACAGTAGATAAGAAAGACCCAATCAGCATTACCCATGGATGTGGCCAGCATAGTTCACCAAGAACGAGGGAACCTTTTAGGCTTGTACCAAATTTATCTCTTAACAAAGGGCCTTCAATTGTTGCTCCCATAAGAAGGACACAAGTCAGGTATACCAGAGATGTAGTGACAATTGCTGCAATTGTTCCTTTCGGAATTGATTTTTGTGCATCATCTAAATCACCAGATCTATTGGAGCCCGCCATAATTCCTTTAAAATAATTGAATGAAATATCGGATAAATTTTACCTTTCGTTAACAGCATTAAGAATTACAACTACTGGGGCATTACTTCATTTAACTTGATATACTGTAAATGTAATACCTGTAACGGAAGGAAAGAAGATTGCAATTAAAACCGTAAAAGATGTTGTAATATCGGCTGCGACTTGATTTCCTACAGCTTTTACACCTGGAGTGGTTTCACCTTTAGACATATATTTACTGAGTGCATTCTCTAGAGTAAAGATAAAATTGTATAAGTTTATTGGTTTCTAAGATATTTGCACCATTCTAAAATTCTTATAGTGATGTTGAATTTTTTAATTTAATAAGTAACCTGTGAAAATCCCGCTGGCTATTCCGGGAATTCCAGGTATCTCTCTTAAGAGAGCTAATTCTGATGCATTATAGAGATCACTCAAAAATGTTGAATTTGGTGAGCAGGTGTAGTTACCACTCATCAACAGTTTATCTCCAATCAGGCAAATCCTATATTAAAATATTTTCAAAAATCATTAATCTGGTAATTTTGTGTTGATCGACAGCAGTAGAACAACTTTAGTACTTTGATCTATCGTGAAAACTTTTTTATATTTTGAACGATTTTACCTTGGTCCAATGTCGGGATTGGCAACAATGACCCCAATATAAATAGATATAATAGACACAATAACGCATGCCAAAAAAAAGGACGCGAATTTATTGACATATTGTACACCAATAAAGACAATGAGCGACAGAATGAGTAAAAGGATTGTTCCGTAAACTCTCATGTTGTTAAACATTTCCTGGCTAATTCCACCATCAGCACTTGGTTGTATTTCACCAAACAACGACAACATTGGAGCCATATAAGTCTAAGGAGCCATTTATAATATTTATTAATATTTAATTTATATAGTTAAAGGCTGATATAGGTGTCTTATATTGAAAACCAACAATGTGTAAGTCAAGCATTGGCCAAGCTAGTAATACTAACTAATAAGATTTCGATAGCTCCTAAAATGTACATTGAAGCGGCGAAAGTCGTTGCCAAGTAAAATAGTATTCCTACTGCGCCACCGAATTCTGGACCCAAAGAGCGAGAAATCATAAAGTACGAACCACCAGCTAAAAAGAGAAATAATCCAAACATTTTTAGAATAGCGTTTAAGATTTATACTTTTCGCTATCTGTTATATAGGGAAAATGAAAGCCACTCACCTGGTACTTTGCCATTTGTTGCAATAGCACTCATTGATATTGCCGTTAACAAAGTCTGTCAAAGAAATTTTGAATTTCAAGATATTGTTTACAATTAAATGTAATCTAAGAATCGAATTCTAATTTCTAAGAATGGAACATACTGTACAACAGGATAAGGCAACTACTAAGAAAGCTTGAAGGACACCAGCACTACCAACTATCCATGTCAAACGGAGAAATAGCAATACGCCGAAAATATTTTGAAGAGTAGGAAGATACACTCCAATTAATGTTCCCATTTTATTTCGCTGTAAGAATAAAGCAATGGTATAATATTTAATTAAATATTTCAGTTACTATATTGTATCATATAAAGTACTCTTAAGTATTCCATTTTAGCACTAAAATATTTTAGTTAAACTTGCTATAGTATTAAGATGTGACATTTTCATAGCAAGCATAACGCCAGGAATCAATCTACTATGTATTGATACTTCTAAAAGGAGACAGTCATACTGACTTTGACAGTGACTTGCTCCGAGACAGCATCCTGATCTTTTGTCTTTTCCATGTTGCTCACACCAGGATTATAACTGGCAACGCTGCGAAGAAAGTTTGTAAGCAGTGGCCTTTTCCCTTCGCCCTATCGTTGAGGATAAGAAGATATTGCAGATAGTAACAAAAAATGAGTTACGGTGAATGAAAATTCATTCGACATACTTGTATTTTTAACATTTAACGTAGTGATAAAGATGACATCATCTTTATGACAATTACAGTATACGTGAAACAGCATAAATGGCTAAAATGAAGCTATTACGCTGCTCAAAATTTTAACTGCAGATAATTGTTGTTACCTCATATAAGGCAAGGCCTCCTTCATTCGTTTCGACTACATCAGGTGCACGATAAATGTTTTTGAAAGGTTCACCAGCACTTCTCCTATAATTTACCGCTGGACCATTATAACAATCAATTTAGTGTCTAAATCAGTCCATTGTTGATTTTATATTGCACCATTCTATTTACTGACTATCCATATGCTCTATTCTTAAGTGATCAGTTATGAAATGGACTATTTGATGTCGTCATAATTTGGTCAATTTCCACGGCCGTCGTCTGTACATGTACAGTACGTGTTCAAGTAGAAAAGGGCAATTTGATATCACAAGCAATTTCACCAGTATAGTTATCATCAACATCAACTCTGTTATTCTTAATGGGTATCAACATCTATTGGTAAAGTACTAACGCAACATTCAATTAGATATTTCACAAGGAAGCCGCAGCAAGTGGTTGTCCATGTATGGAATGATGACGATATTAATTCATTATATCATTAGCTATCTCAACTGCATTCTATTCCATCATGAGTACGTAACAGTCAGTCATTCATGAAGGTCCACTATACTTGTTACTGTCTCTATCTACTCTACTTGAATCATTTTAAAGAATATAGCGAAAGTAGTAGGCTACACATATACAGTAAACGAAAGCAGTGAACATCGATGAACGCGTTGAAAATGAATTAATACAGTCCAGTTGCATACGAATAGAGTAAATGAGTACAGTAATGCGTTGAGCAAGGACTTTGTACTCCTTCTATGTTTAGCAATGATACGTCTCTAGTTTGAATAGTCGTTGTCATTTCATCACTACATTGAACATTACTATGATCGCTGTATTTATCCTACGAATGGCTGAAAATAAAAACGAGGCATAAAGAACTAATACTACCCTAACTCGTGTCCATAGCCTCAAAATGATATGGGTAGCCAAGGGCGACCGATTATTCGAACATGACCAAGTCCAACAACGCATTCAATATGAATATGCACCCTTCTCGACTAACATGATACTATAATACCATCAGCAGAAATACTCACCATGATCATCTAAGTGTATCTCTACAAAGTCACCCTCATTGACCTGGTTATTTTCTGTTCTTAGATCATATTTGCCAGAATTGCGAGCCATTTTCCCAATTTTGGAGGATTGAAAACTTTTCCAAGATGACCTTCAGCATCTCTAATGGGTACGCAAGCTGTCCAAACAGTCCCTTGATATTACAGTGTACAGTACTGTACACTGTAACAGTACTGAAGCCCACTCTAAGCAAAATGGATGTCATTGGTTGTGGCTCATTGACTATGCCGTAGTTGTACGCTTTAGGAAAAGAGTGGATAAAGCTATCTTTGTACCCTGTACTGTACAGGCCTAGAACAGATCTATCCACTTATTTCATTGATCTCTATGGATAAGGCAATGTCTGCTACTTAGCTCTGATAGTGACAGTACAGCACAGATTTCGAGCAGGAACTCTTCAAGAACGGAGGTCTTACGATATGAACGAAAAGCTGACAGGGTGACATCCGTTTCCACGCAGAATGTCTCACTGGGCTACAATGCAATGTACTGTACTTAATTGGGCGTGACCTGCTACTGTAACAGTTAACACTCGGACAATAATCACGTGATACAGTAACATTTCCAGTTGCCTTGATACAGTTTAGATTGAAAAATCCACGATAAAAATTGCCTTATTAGTGACCTCATTTTCACAAAACAGTCAGTCTATGAGGACTGCAAATGACCTACGCTGTACACTGTACAGTAGCATAGCCAGAAAAGAACTTGTCAATAATATTGATACTGGCTACATCGACATTTCGTGCTGAAAAGCCCACCTGCGTCCACAGTATAACATACTGTAATTCAGGTTTGTACTGTACACTGTGGCATCGGGTGATTAACGGCTTCACCAATACGCATGTGTAAACAATTTCAAATTTTCCTCATCCTTTAAAATTTCGATTCATTATTATTATTTAAACAAACATACAGTACAGCAGCAGCGTAGCATAGCATAGCATCTACAGTTATATAATCTGTCCATACAAAGGAGAAGAAATTAAGTTGATTTATTTCCATTTGAATCAATTCTACGCAGTTGAATTAATAGCAAGAACTTGCATACCCAATAGAATGCAATGCAGTGCTTAGATCAAAATTACAGTAGATGTGATATACGTATCTAGGAAACCGCAGTACGAATCGATTAAAAGTAGCAATTTTCGATAACATCTCAAGAATCAGGTAAGAGAGGCTCTTAATGTACAAGGATGATATTATCATGGTGTTGTCATAGACTACTTGTATAGTAATAGCGATTCGATTCAATCTTGCATTCGATAGAATAACGGTAGGATTGATCAATATTTCTAAACATATTGTTGTAGAGAAATCTCGGACCTGCGTCCAAACATTGCAAGCATACGAAATCCAAAACAGCGATTGATTAGCAGCTAAAAGAGCTTGTCACAATACTCATTCAAGACATTTTTAGTACTGGAAATTTCGTTCAAATTACATCGTCTTGACTTGATAACGATGCAACATTTAGACTTATTCAAGAAAAGCCATGGCAGTATATGGCATCGAAAGCCAATAGCATCGAGTGAAGATGGGTAAGTTGATTCGTTACCTTACTGATATAGAATAGACCGAAATGATAATAGCTATCCAATTCACTAGCGTTACAGTAAACTCAATCGACTACTAATTCTAATCGAATATTTCTTACTACTCTACTGTATTAGCACAGTACCTACGTACTTACTGCTGTATAATATAATAATATTTACATACATCTAAATTTTTTAACTTTGTTAGACTCCTCCTGACTATTACACGTAGTAGCTTACGTGCTTTTACACCAGGAGGTAACCGAACAATTCGGTTTACTCAAGTAGCATTTGACCGATCTGGTCAACAATTTTTAGCGAGTGATCAACAAGGCAACCTCTATCAATTCAATTTAGCTAAAAACAAGTAAGATCAAAATCACTGATTTATATTTAGAAGAATACATTTTCCATCATTATCAGCTATAGATAAGTGATGGATGAAAGCTGATATTAATCAATAAAAGGATGCCAACATCTGCATCGATCTATATAACGATTCTTATAATGATATCGACACTGTCTTTAACAGGCTATGAATTTATTTGAACAGGTTTAAATCATTATTGAATACTGGTGTTCCATGCACAACTTTATCATTTAATCTTCAACGAAAGAATGAAGCCCTCGTAGCATTGTCTGACTGTTTGCTAAAATGTTATGATATCAGTAAGTCATTTGGTTTAACTCTGTTTGATTTGAATACAGTAGAATTCCAAATTATAAAAAACACATCTATCGTTTAACTTTCTTTCATGCCTGCGTTATTTATAGCGTATCAAGACGTTCAATATTCAAATATTCATGAAATAGATAATTACAGATGACTATATCAAGAATTGCAGTGATCATCATGACTAGAAAAACATCCGCTATCTATCGATAATAAAATCTTAGATAACTTTTTATTACACTGATCTTGATTGGCCTGAGAATATTACAAACTTAATTTTTTTGTCCTGGTTGCTATATAAAAATATGATATACGTACTACTGTAGTCTATTGAAACAGTTACAATACTATACCATCAATCTCTATTTATATCATGCAACAAATCACAAATAATAATTTGCATTTGACTACATATGTAATCATCAATGAAGTATAGAATTCTAAAGTCAAAGTGTATAATATCAGTACGCTTGATTTAGTAATTTTACCTACTGGTATAGTTAGCAAAAGATGTGATAATTACTCTACGTTATTTTTCTATAATTAATTATTTAGCAACAAAAGAAGTTGTGTGTTGGATGAAGGGTCACGATACGGCTATAAATTCAATTTCCATCCATTCATCTGGTCGTTATGCGTTAACAGCATCGAATAAAGTTGCTCATTTATGGGACTTAGAGACATTTACGCATCAAAGAACGCTAAATGGAGCTCAAAAAGTTGGCATTATGAAGGTAAATAATATAATATGTATGTAAAAAAATATTCGGCGATATATATCTCTCTAAGTGATTAATGTGAAACTAAAATAATTGTTAAACTATTTACTAACATTGCCACAAATAGGCAGTAGTCACATAGTTACACCACCGAATGGTGCATGTAGATATATTAGAAAGAAAAGAATTACCTATACTTTCAACACATCAATTAAGTGATTAGGCGTCTACTGCAGCGAAATATTTGTATTATATCAAATATTATCATACGAGTATCATGCACTTCTTCTACGAAATGTACATGAAAGAGAGAATATTATTTCCCTGAACTATTCTTCATTAGACTTTAAATTGATGTTTATTATCATTAAAAACTATATGCCGATATATTTAATGGAATGATCTATTGAATCGTAGGTTTGTTTCTTACCTTCCTCCAACAATATCTTAACATGCTTCAAAGATGATACTATCTTTGTTTGGGATATGGAAAATTTACAATGTCAGTACCAATTGCCAGTGCCACCCGGTAAAAATAAGCCATGCTATCGTAGTTTAGCTACAACCAGTGATGGTCAATACTTAATTGCTGGTGGAAGGTATGATCACATACAATTTTCTCCTCGATAACATAAGCTATACTAATATAAGTAATTATGATCTTGTTTACCGTGTAATGAATACAAATCGATTAACATCACTATTTTAGATCACGATTTCTTCATCTATGGACACTGGAAAACAAAAGATTGATTCGAATTATTCAATTACCCCTATGTGTTAAAAATGTTAAGCTTATCGCATTTTTACCCGATAGTCTGGATACAAGTTCAAGTCAGGTATATAAATTAATCAATAAACGTTATGTTATCAACATTAACTGTTAAACTATTGTAATTATAAGTAAAAATACTTATGGATACAATTCTGCAAAATAATTGATTATCATAACTTCTAATAAGAACCCGCTTATTGTATTTATTTATAGACTGTTGGTGTTCTATCCCAAGATGGTATTATGCGCTTCATTAATATTCACAACTGTAATCTCCTTTTCGAAATTGGAACTCAAAACAACGTATATATGATTATAATAATTATTGCTTTACCCTTCTTTAAAAATATGGATGGATGATAAATCTTATTATTCCCTTTAGCCTATTCACCAAGCTACAATCAACTCAAATGGAAGATATGTTTTAGCTCTTATGGGAAATGGTAACATAAATTTATATAGCATAGCAAGTTTATCAACAGAAATTAAGAAGGTATTTGTAGAGATTTAAAATTTGAAACTCATATTTCAGTAAATTTGAACAGTAATTTCAAAAGTAATGTTGTCTCAATTTAGCCTCCGGAACCCATTACCAAAGCGGTCATAGTTAAAGATAAAGATGCATCGTCAACTGCTACTAATCGCGATAAACCAGCACGATATGCTGATTTGCATGGGATAGCTCCAGAGGATATAAATAAAAATATTAATTGGAATGGACCTCAAGCAGTGATTAGTAAAAACACTGATCGTTGGAACAAGGATTTAGAATTAGCAGTTACGAATAGACCAATTGTAAAGCGAAATTATCGGCAAACATCGAAGGTAATACATACTTTTAACTAAATTAGTTTAAATTTATCTTAAATTTTCGAATGTGTTTAATCAATAGTTATAAAACTAGTGATGATTCACAAAAGTAAATCTAATGCTCTAGCGACTTTTGTTAACTTTTTAGAGCAACGATTTATATGACCGTCTTGACATTAAAAGATTACATAGGATCTTAAAAGGGTTTGGAGAGTATCCATCAAAGTATAGGTATGCCATAAATCGATATAATCCGTCTTTATTCTGTAATACATTAGGTAGTTACTGACATCATTTATATTTCTTTCTCATTCTTTACATTTCAGAATTTTTATATGGCGTTCATTACTTAAACTACCGGAAAATCATGAATGCTATAGTAATCTAATCGAGAAAGGAACACATTCAGCCTTTATAAAACTAGATGAAGAGTACCCAATTAAAAGCAGGAAACTACTAAATAACCTCCAAAAGTAAACAAGAATAGAATTATGCATTTCGTATATCGTAGGAAGAATTAAATTAGTATTTTTAATAGGATATAGGTTTAATGAACATTCAAGGATTCTATATATTGATATTCCAAATTAGATAATTGAATGCTTTACGGTATATAGTAGGAGCATCTAACTTGATATAAGAAAATTATCTTTCTAACTTATGATCATTCATGTATATGCTACAGAACTTTATCTGCACTGGCTCACTGGTCTCCAATATTTGGTGAAGTCCATTACCTGCCTTTGCTAATCTTTCCGTTCGTTAAATTATTTCAAAATAATCATCTGATATGTTTTGAAGTTATCGCTACTATTATAGGTATCGTATTGTAGCGTATATTAATTATTTAATTCAACACTAATATGTAGTCTTTAATAGGGTATTGAACAGATTTTTAATACTTCTTAGTGAATTGGTGCCAGAAATGGTTTGAGTTTTTTCCGAATCCTCCTATTAATATCTTGAGTTCTATCGAAAACATGCTAGGAGCTCATGACTCCGAATTACTTGATCATTTTATTCGAAATAAAATAAAATCACAGGTGTTTAAGCTTAATACTCGCTAATTGATATCTTTGTAGCTTTCACTTCTTATTTATTTACATTTATGG